AGTTTTTTTATAAAATATAACATTTAATATAAGTAGTATACAAAATACTATAATTTTGATTTAAGGATGTGAAATTTATTCATTAAGTAATGAAAATAATACTTTTGAATTAGTTAATTAAAATAAAAATCCTATTTTAGGTTTTATTAATTTAAATGATTAATTGTTATTGTTTTATAAAAATCATATTTCAGTTATAAATTAAGTTTAAGATTAGACAAGTTAAAAATAATATCGATTAAGATAAGAAATTTATAAATTTAAAAAGGATGTAGAAAATTAATATAAATTAAAAGATGAAGAACTAATTTTATAATCAATATCTATAGATTCATATATAAAAAATAAGTTTGATTAATTTTAAACATTATTGAAATTTATGCATCGTAATTTAGATTAAAAAAAAATAATCTAGTTGATGAAATAATAATCAAATAATTTTTCTATTGAACATTTTATGAATTAATTAATGGATGATTTAGAAGATATTTATTATTATTTGAAACCAACAATTTAAATGTTAAATTTAGATTTTAATTAGACTTAAAATTAATTGATACAATAACTCAATTAGTTAGATCAATTTTTAATGTGTGTCTATTATGATGAATTCTAACCCTAATAAGATTTCAAATAAGATTAATCTGTAAAATTATCATTACTTAAATCCTTAGTAATAAATCAACTCAAAGATTATTACTATATGTATTTGGAAATATATTTAGGTTTGGCTGTTCTATACAATATTTACAAAATATAATTTAAACTTCAAAATGATCATAAATTATTTTATGATACCATGTTACTATTAACTTTATGTTAAGAAAAGTCATACATATCATTTTATGATTTACTAAAGAAATAATTTTTAATTGTTTCTAACGATATTTCATTATAAAAATTAACTACTATTTAGAATGTTATATATAGATTTATTAGTTTAATTTATTCTGAAGTATTTAGAGATTTTCCAATTCCAGAAGAATTATTATGTGAAGCTTTCATATAAAATTAAAAAAAATCATTAATAAATCAAAATAATGCAAAAGAAATTATTAGATATTGTAAAGTGAGTTAATAAATAGGATAATAATAAGATAACATCATATAATTTATAAATGAAAATGAAGACCAATATCAAGAATTAAAATTGAGAATCTCATTCTATTTATAATAATAATAATAAAATTTTTATATAGATGATGAATAAGAGATAATATTAAAAAAATTAATAGGTTATGCTATTAAATAAGAACAATATTAGCTTTTATTTTAAATTCTGAATTTGAATTAAACAAAATAAATAAATGATCAATTATCCTTAATGATTGATAGTGATTAATTGTTTAAATGCTAATTAAGTAATATTATTTATTTATTTTAGATGCAAGAACAACTGATTAAATTGCAGAATTGTTAATTCAATATTCACGTGAAAAATGTCATAATTTGAAAAAAGCTGAAAAAGTACTTCAATATTACAGTTTTCTTATGAAACAGGAATCAAAAGACAAAGTATAGATTCATATCTTATAATTAGGCTTTTACATTATTGTTTGAGTATATTGTAAATTTGGAAATTTTGCTATTCACTTTAAAATATAAAGATGTTGCTCGTGGAGTTAAGACTTAATTAGATTATATAAATATTTTGTTAAATCAAATGGAATTATAAAGTAAACAAGATTAATTACCTTATTCTAAATAATTAATTTGCAAACTTAGCAATTAAAATTATGAGTAGTTTAAGAATCCAAATATTATAAATGATAAATCTGAGATTGATTCAGAATCTCCCAAAAATATTAGGATAATTAATTAAGAACAGATAATAAAATTTAAGAAATACAAAGAAATTTAAAATTTTGTTTGTACATATTATACTCCTTATGCATAACTCAATAAAGTAATAGAATAATTGATATTTAATGGAAATCTCAATTAATTGATTAATGTATTTAAATTAAGTTTGGATCAAAACTTTGAGAAGAATATAGTGTTTTTTTATTTTAGTAATGAAGAATAAAGAGAAGAATTACTTAATGCAGTCAAACCATTTTTAACTCAAAAAGAATTTTCAATAATGTTAGCTAAAATTTGTGTTGTTTGTAATTTAAATTTTGAAAAGTGCAAAGCATTATTTAAGATGGCTTAGAGTTAAGAATACTTCTTATAATATATGATTAATGTTGATAAGGAATAAATAGCTTCTATGATAATTTGATTGTTATATTCATTTTTTATTAATTTTAGGAAAATTATATAAATTAACTATCATTCTCTCTTTATTTAAATACCTAATAAAAAGTGATTTGGATTAAATTAAATTAATACTATGATAAGAGTTTAGAATAAACAAGATCTACTCCAGTTATAGAAGTGTCAATTTCCATAAATTAAGTTTTGTATCTAATAAGAGCACAATTTGTATAACCTGTAGGATAATCGGAGAAGTTTTTAACTCATAATAAAAAAGGATGAATGCTTTAATAGATTAAATTTTATTTAAAAGAAATTCTTACAAGTATTAAAAATAGTTGAATAATAAATATTATAAAATAAATTCTGTAACTTAAAACATTAATATCAAAGAAAGATGAACATATAATAAATAATTTGATGTTATCAAATACAGAGATATTGATCTAAATAGGTATATAATATAATTAGACTTTTATATCCTCTAGTTTTATTATTCTCTATTATCATATGATTTTTATTATATTAATTATGAAAAGATATCTAAATTAAGATTAAATGAATTTTGAATTAAAGAAACATTATTCAGATATAACAATGTATAAAGTTAAAATTTATAATCAATATAATCAACGATTAATACATCCTAAAGCAATTAAAGCTTTAGTTAAGAATCCTTTATTTTAGTAATTATTTTATGGTTGTTATTGATCTTATTGGCGTTAAAACTAAAATTATAAACTTCTAAATTTCATAGCTTCCCATTCTTAGATTGATGATTTTTGACCAAATTAAGGATTATAAATTTTGGATTAGCTTTCTAGAACTTCAGATGTGTAATGTGTTGATTTAATAGAAATCATAGAAGAACTTCTTATTGAACCTTTTCTATCTTATCCTTAGGATAACATCCATTAATGATTTTTAATCTTATCAATAGAAGGCCTACAATGAATACTATGTTATAGTAAACTGTTGATTAAAGATTTACATTCATCAGAAACATCAAATTCAAATTCAACTTCTTTTCTAGATAATATTTTTTAACTCTTTTCTAAAAATGTCATCCCTTAAAATGGTGTTTTTCCTTAAACCATTTCATACAATAACACCCCTAAACTCCATATATCTGTTTTATAATCAGTTATCTAAGATTAAATCATCTCAGGTGACATATATTCAGTTGTACCACAAAAAGCCTTATGATAATTTGGCATTTAGGTAGCCCAACCAAAATCCCCTATTTTTAACTCTCCTGATTTGGTTATTAGTAAGTTTTCAGGCTATATTTATATTCTATTTGTACTTTTATATCTCTGTGTACAATATTCATCTTATGCATATATTCCAAACCAGATAACAATTATGAAAAGTATTAATAAGCTTCTCTCTCTTATAATCTTGATTTACGCTTAATCAATGAAAAAAGTGATCCCAGTTCTGCGTATTCTAAGATTAACAATACACTAATTATTTTTAGATACATAACAGTACCTAAGCTAGTCTTCATAACAATAACATAATTTTAGAATATTTGGATGACAAAGTTTCTTTTAAATTGATATTTCTCTTTTTAAGTTGTCTATAGATTCCTGGGCTTTTAATTTAGATTTACTAATCTGACATATTTCATCAAGTATTACCGTCTTTCGTGCATAATAAATACGACTATTAACATCTCTCACTAGTTAAACAGATCCATAAGCACCAGAACCTAAGCATTATTCAATAATCTGAAAGTCCCTTTGAAAAATTAAATTATATGCTACTTTTCATTTTTCTAATAATTATTGTCTCTTTAGCTTCCCTGAGGGTCAATTTAACACAACCTTATAACTATTTAAAAAATATACAATTAATTCTTATACTAAGTAGGAACTTGATCATTTAATTATTAAAACACCTTTTAATTCATATCTTCTTTTTTCTTAATAACGATTTTGTTCATTATAAAATGCTTAAGAATTTTTCAAGATATTAATTTTTTTGATCAATTTGTTCTCAAAATATACTATTGTTAAATAACCTCATTAAAATAGATACAATAGCTCAAGAGCTTTTATAATCTATTCCATATATACTATTCCAACTCATTTATTAAATATTTAATAAATGAACAAATATAAATACAAATAATAAATTTAATACTTGAATCCTATTTAATTTTGATCATCAAATTATATTAATCTCAAATTAGAATCTAATGTTTTACTAAATTATTGATTTACTTTATAAATACTTTTATTTTTCTTATAATACAATATTTTAAATTAAAATATAGAATATTTAATATTAAAATTAAAAAATAGTGATATTTGATTGAAGCAACTTCTAATTTAATGTATTTTGCAACTCTTTAGATATTTTTAGATACCTTTTATTTTGAATAATATAATGATGGATTATGAATTAGAAAATTTATAAGAAATTTAATTTAAATTCTTTCTTAACATATTTATAACTTTAAATGATAAAAATACTAGAAAATCATCTAAATTTAAAAGGAATAAATATTTAATTTTCTGAATGGAAAAGATGCTTCATAATAATTTAGTACCTAATAGACTTAATATTTCTTATGAATAGTGAAAATGCTAATTATTGGTATTCAATTAATGAATAATAAAAATTAACTAAGAACTGTCTGAAGTTTACATTTTATGATGGTCCACAATTTTCAATAAGTTATATATTAACTATTTGATCAATAAAATCAAGGACCTAAATGAATCATAATATTTGTTCGAATTTTTATCCAGATATTTTTCAATGAATGATAAATATGGATAGAGAAGATTCGGATGAGATTGTCATGGTTTACTAGTGTAATATAAAATAGATAATGTTTTAGTGTGAGAAAAAGAGGGATCAAGTATAATAAAAATGTACATCAATTATAAGTTAATACAAATCTTAGCAGAATTTAGGCTTGTAGAATTCTATTCAAATAAAATTCAATACAAAATAGTAAGAAAATTAGAAGGTATACCTTTTTCTATATATGAAGGAAGTTTCAACAATTTGTTAGAAAATGCTTAAATTGTTTTTTAGTAGAAATAGATTTTTGGGTAATCCAAATGGGGAGAAGTTTGAAAAACTTGTTTTGTATATAGATCAATTGAAGAACTGAAATGACTATCAGAAATAAATGTAATTCAGGAATTTCATAGAGAAGATTTTGATTTATTGATTCTTTCAGATAAATAAGCATAAGGAGTTTTAAAAATAAAATTTTTTATTTGAAAAAATTCTTTCTTGTTAAAGAATTGGATCAAACCATAGGATGGTACTATTTTTTATATAATCTTCATACTGCTTTGTATAATTATGGTTCATATTATATTCATATTCTTAATGGTTTTGTAGAAATGAATAAAGTTAAAAAATTTCTAAATCAATTTTTTTTAAGATTACATTTGCAAGACTTGGATAAAATTACTATTTTTATTCTCTGAAAAAGATTCTCAAATACATTAAGCAGTATGATCTGGAACAGAATGAGTTTAAAATGATATAGAAAGCCTTTATATCAAATAAAAAAGTATCTTTTCTAAATTTAGATATTGCTTTAGAAAAATAGGTATTTATAATTAATTACTACTTATTCACTCTTATTTAAAAAAATAAAACTATTAATTTATATTTTTATAAGGGATAATTCTATTTAAAAATAGGTAAATATAATTATGAGAGTGCTTTCAGTACTAGAAATCTATAAAAATGACTTTATGTATAAAATTAAACTTAGTCATATAAGATAATTATTTTAAAAAGAAATTTTAATTCAATTAAAAAGTTAATTAATTATTTATAATTAAAAATAAATCATAAATCAAAACATTCAAAATCAAGCAGCATTTTCAATACCAATATTATAGTGTCCAGGTTTAATGAGTAATATTATTTTATTTTTATTTTCTTCTTAATATTATCTTACAATAAAGTCTTCATTATCAAAAAATATTAGTATAACATTTCTAAAATATAATAAATAATAATACAATTATAAATATATTGCTAATTGATTAATAACAATTTCATTGCTATTACACTCAGTTTCCCAAATCAATAAATTTTTTTAATCATCACCAATAAATGTTTTTATTTCTTGATCTTATTCAACCAAATAATCACTTAAATTTCTAAAGAATAGTGTTGATAATGTGTATAAAAAACCAGTTCCATCTTATCCAACTTAATATTCAGAAAATTAAATTAATAATTGTTGTTATCTTTCTTAAACATCTTCAATCATTCTCAATTATTATAACTAATAAATGAATTCAATTAAAATTTATTTTTCTAATTCTAAATCATCTATTTAAAAACCAGGAACTTATATTCTAAATCTTAAATTAATCGCTTATATTTTATTAATAAATTAATTGAATTCATTATTATTATATGTAATTAGTAGATGTCTTATAAATTAATATCCAAATGCAGTATAAAAACAGTTACCATCTCCTCTAACTTGAAGAAAACCGTTGCAAATTTTATATAATTCCTATTTTTTTGCTAATTTCTTTACATTATATTATTTTATTAATTCTTATCTATCATTTAGACCTTATATATATTTTTTATAAAATTCTTAAACTTACCTTAAATCTGAAGAGTTTTTATTTAATTCTTTTATTAAATCATAGATTAATTTTTGCCTTTGATTTTTATCAATTTAATCTTAATCATTAATTTGATTTTCATAATTTTCTTAATTTTCATTTGATAAAATTTTATTCTCTGGTTCTTATTCATCATGTTATTTTGATTATGGTTATTGTTAAGTCTATTGTGATTACTAAGGAATTGTATTTAAATTAGAATTTTTTTAATAATCATTATTTTATTGATCTTTTTATTATTATATTTTTCTTTATTTTTATTATTCACTTTATTATTATAATTCTCTTTATTATTCTTATTATTCTCTTTATTGTTCTCTTTATTTTTATTCATATTCTCTCTATTTTTATTTTTATTCATATTCTCTTTATTATTATAATTCTCTTTATTTTTATAATTCTCTTTATTATTATAATTCTTTTTATTTCTATAATTCTCTTTATTTTTATTATTCACTTTATTCTTATTCTTATTATTCTTTTTATTATTATTCTTTTTATTATTATTCTTTTTATTATTATTCTTTTTATTATTATTCTCTTTAGTATTATTCTCGTTATTATTATTCTCTTTAGTATTATTCTCTTTATTATTATTCTCTTTATTATTATTCTCTTTATTATTATTCTCTTTAGTATTATTCTCGTTATTATTATTCTCTTTATTCATCCTAATTTATGTTATTTAATTTCTTTGAATTTCCTAAAGTTTAATATTACGGTGTTTAATAAAATTTTTATTGATCAGGAAGTTAAATAATGCTACGTTGTTTATATTGAAGGTTCAATTAATATCTTATTCCTTAAGAACTCCTGAAATAAACAGTTTCATTACATCCTTACGTTATCAAATAATAAAAAAGGAATTCAGCTTATTATATGGGTGTTTAACAATATGGTAGTTTAATAGAGATTGGCTTATGTTAATACATCTTAAAGCTAAATAAATTTTATTTTTATTTATTTTGTTATCTTTAAATATGATATAATTTCTATCTTATTTATGATAATCAAAGAGAATTTGTAAATATTAATTACTAAAATTATCAAATAGATCTAAAATATTAGGTTTAAATATAATTCTATAATTTCTAAGATTATATATAAACATGATATAACAGTGAAAAATGAAATATTATAAATTAACAATATAGAAACCTTTATTTGATTTCTAAAATCATTAATAAATGGTTTTATTATTATTAATAGAAAGGATTTTATTTATGATTATATATATATTAAATAAATTAACTGTTTATAATGAGTTAACTGAAGAAATTAAATCAGCAAGTTAAATAAGTGAAATGCATAACACTATCTGCTCATTAAACTCATCATTCTCATTAGTCATCTGTGAAAACATTACCTAAACCAATAGCATCTCGTCCTGTCACTTCGATTACTAAGAATAATAATAATAAAGTGGAAGCTGTGAAAATAGATTTAGTCAAATAGAAAAAACAAATAACAAATATAAGTGTGACTAGATCTACTTCTTCTGCTCGTACAAGATCTACTTCAAATGGACTTAAAGAAGATAAAATTCCTAGAATTTTAGGAGACTTATTAGGTCCTGAAATTGAATTAGCAGATTGTTAAGATTTCTTATTGTAATTAAATGAACCACATTTTAAAATGGATGAAGATTTAATGAAAGAACGTGTAATTTTGGCTAACAGAATAGCAAATACTATTAAATTGAAAAAAAGAATACCTACAACAACAGCAGATTATTATAAGGTTTGATATATAAACTTAAAATAGGCAGCTGTGTTCCGTAATAGGGAAAGGGGCTTTTGCTAAAGTTTGTTTAGGAATCTAAATTTTGACTGGAGTAAAAGTGGCAATGAAAATTATTGATAAATCAAGTCTAAAAAATGAAAGTGCTAAAAAAAGATTGATGTAAGAAATCACTTTAATGAAACTCTTATAGCCTTATAAATGCTGTATTCGATTATATGAAGTATTTGAAACTAAAAGATAAATTTATTTAATTATGGAATATGTAGAAGGAGGAGATTTAATCAAATTTAGTAAAGAAAAACCATTATCAGAATAGATGGCAAAAAATATATTTGGATAATTGATACAAGCACTTTAAATATTGCAAAATCATAATATTTTACATAGAGATATTAAATTAGATAATATATTATTATAAGGAGAATAAATTAAATTATGTGATTTTGGAGTAAGTCGATAGATTGTAAAAGGATAGAAAATACTAGAATAATGTGGAACTCCAGCTTATTTGGCTCCTGAAATTATGACATAAAAAAGTGGATATGAGGGATTTGCAAGTGATATATGGAGTTCAGGAATTCTTTTGTATATTTTATTAATTGGTAAAACACCATTCAAAGGAAATAATATGAATGAATTGAATCAATAGATTTAAAGTGGATTATTAAATTTTATGGAAATTAAAAAGGCAAATATTTCAAATGAAGCTGTAGATTTAATGAAATCTATTTTAAATATTAATCCTAAATTAAGAAGTACCTTACCTGAGATTATGAAGCATATTTGGATGAAGGATATCGATTTTAAGTAAACTAAATAATAACAAAATTCTAATTTAGATTTAAGAATTATTTGTTAAGTATTTATTTTATTTTATATAGATTGAATAATATGGTTATCAAAGAGAAGTGATAATCAAAACTTTATAAAGTAAGACAATAAGCCACATATCTGCTCTTTATTGGGCTTTATATTAGTGATAACATATAATTGCACATTGAAACACTTATGAATATTTAACTAGTTATAATTAATTCAATAATAAAACTAATCTCTAGAGATTTTTAACTATTGTGTTAATTAATAAAAGTTTATTCAATATATATTAGTAATTAATTTAATTTAGTAGATTTATAATAAAGTTAGCTTTGTAATTTAACAAGATTATAATACTTTATCATATTATTGAAGAAAATTAAATCTATTCATTATTTTTATATACTTAATGATATGTTAATAAATAATTTAGTAAAGTCTTTTTTTTATCTTAATTTTCAATCTTTTATGATCATAAAATTATAATTAAAATTAGTTTTCTCTTAATATATAAATATATTTACATCTAAAGAACAACCTTTTATAATGGAAACAAAAAGACTTTAAGCAAAAACCCTCGTTATCTAATTTTATACATTGTGTTCAAAATGACAATGAGAGATTTTAATTAGTTATTTTCTTTTTGTCTTCTAAGGCTCAAAGAATTTGGTTATATCATATTTTAATATATAAAATATTAAAATGAAAGATCCTTTTTTAATGTATTTGAATATTTATTTAATTAAAAATTCTATTTAAATTATTATAATGCAACAAATTAAGAATAGTAATAAAAGATGGATATTTAATGATTGATAAGAATATTTGTTATCACATTTGGATGTATTTATTATAAAGAGATGAAGTTCTTAATTCTTTTACAGATTTATATTCCTTTCTAAGTAATGCTTATATAATTTATAACTCAGGTTGATAATATTATTGAATTTGGGGTCTAAATTTACTATTAATATAATGATAGATTTTACTTATTTTTTGCATTCATTTGAATTAGAATTCTTTCTTCTTTAGTTAAAGTTGGATCACAAAGATCTAATATAATTATTCCAACTTAAAATAATTCTTCTCTAGCATCATAAACTATTCCTCTCTCTTATATTCCATTATTGAGTTATAATATTCCATAATCTTTACTAAGTAGTAGCCAATTATTATTTTATCCATCCTCATTTAAATGAGTTTTGCTCCAATCAAAATCACAAATTCTTAAAGATACATCACCAGCATTATCCCTAGTAACAAGAACATTCTCTAATTTTAAATCTCTATGAAAGAATCCTTAACCATGAATATATTCCAAACCAGATATTAATTAATGGATTAAAGATTAGATAATTTTTCTTTTAAATTATACTTATGCATTTAATAAATACTTCACACTAAATTGCAATAAATCATTACAACCTAAATATGAATCATATTCTTATTGCAAATAAAGATAAAAACATTACTAATTTCTTTCATTAATCTCTTTTTCAATCCACCAACTATATAATCTAATTACATTTGGATGTTATAGTCTTAACATAGCTTTAACTTCTCTTATTTAAGTAATTTGATTATAAAATAATCTTTGCCAAGTAAACTCTCCCATTAATCTTACTTTTTTGATTGCATAAATCTATAAATCAATTTTATTTATGCACAAAATTATAGATGTAAATCTTTAAGTCTCTTTATATGGTTTGATAACAGAAAAATCCTTAACAAATTTTCCATTGTTCAGTAAATCACATTAATTAAATTCGTTAAATCCAAAAAATTTAAATTCATAAATTACAATCAACCCTTTTTTTGGATCTTTATCACTAAACTGTAAAGGCATTTGATATTCTTTTAACTATTGAATTATGTTTTCATCTACTTATAATATACAACTAGCCTTTTTAACAGAAGTTGATAAAATAGGTTCAATCTTAACATCAATTGGTCTTATTTATTTCTATTTATTAGAATATATAAATTACCATTGATCCATTCAATATTTTAATTACAATGTGTTCTAAAGCTGTTATTACATCTCTTCTTGATATATGATGTTAAACTTTATTGCTATATTAATTAATTATGACAACTCCAAATATATTAGGAGTTGGAATATCTTCATATTATGTACACTATTATTTAATTTTAATATTCTTAGATTCTTCATCACTATCAAGAAATTCAATGTCAATATTATGATTCTACATATTCTTTATAAAAATATTACTTTTATGATTTAAATAATATCATTTCGGAGTTATAATAAAATTAATTTATAACTCCCGAAAAAATAATTAAAAATAAATAGAATTTCTTAAATATTTTATGATTTTAAATTTTTACGACCAAACGAGAGTTTATCAAATTTACAATGTTTATAATCAGAATTCTTCTTAAGAATATATAATTTTAACAATTTTTATTTAATTTATGATAAGAGAATATGAGAAAAATTTATGTTAAAGATTTGTCAATTTAAATTAAATACTTAGAAATTTTAATCAAATTAATAACAAAAATACATATTTATATTTTAGGTTAAATTTCATTTATGAATAAAATCTTAAAGAATATATTTATTATCAAATAAAAATTAAATAAAATAAACTTTTTGTATTTATTTAATCAATCATTATATCCTATGTTATAATGTCCTGGCTATATAAGCAGAATAATTTAATTTTAACAATCTTTTTCATAGTCTTACATGATAAATTCTCCATTCTAAAAAAATATCAATTTGATATGACTAAAATCATCAAAAGATATATTTACATTTTCAATTATTATGCAAGTATTTAAACGATAATTTCATTGTAATTGCATTCAGCTTCCCAAATTAACAAGTTTTCTCTATCTAGACACTAATCTTTCATATCACTCAATTCTAAGATAGTATCACATAAATTTCTTAAGAAAATTGAAGAAAGATTGTAAAAACAACCTTGTCCATCATCTGTGATAACATATTAAATAAATTATGATAAAAGTTATTATTTTCTATCTTCTTCGTTTACAATTAGACGAAGTTACTAAAGTTAATAAAGAAACTCTTCTAATAATTCTTAATCATCAATTTAAAAATCTTCACAATTGATTTTGAATTAAATCTTTTTATCTAAAACAAATTATATAAATTGATCATATTAATTTAGATTGTAAGTAAATAGTAAATGAATAAAAAATTGATAAATAAATGCTGTATAAAAGCAATTTCCATCTCCTCTTACAAACTATATTTTATTGCAATGTTACTTTAAATTTTATTTAGTAGTTAATTTCTTTATTGAATAATGTTTACATAAAGTATTAAAATCTCCTATTTCTCTTAGATAATATTTTTAACTTTCCTCCATAATTCGTTTGTTTGATGATCTGTTCTGTAATTCTTTAATTATATTAATTGTCTTTTGTAATCTTACTTAATTTGACTCAAATTTTCTTATTAATTTATATGGTTCTTCTTACTATTCATCTTAATTATTTTACTAAGAGATTTCATTATTGTTTATTTAGATTTCTTAATTATTAATTTCCTTATTTTAGTTCTATTCAACTAATTCATTAATAGTATGTTCTAACTTTTGATTATTTTTGCTATCATCTATTTTCTGAATAAGATTATAATCAAATGGCCGCTTTTCTCTTTTCTAAAAAGTTAGAAATTATTTATTAGATTGTGTTTTGACAATAGATGACCGATCAAATATTGATAAGTTTATTGGGTATTTTTGAGTTTAATAATTCCATTGGTTTTACTTTTCACTTCCAATATTAGATTAATTAAAAGATGATCTATTCTGTAATATTAATTTTGCTCGAGCTATGTCTTTTTCTAAAGTAATCTTAATTTATTATAATAATGTTAGTTCATCATATCTCTAGTTTAAAATATCACGATTTTTTTTTAGTTAATTTTAACATTAATATTAATTTTCAATAATTTAAACTTTTCTTTTAATAATATCAATAACTTTACTTGTATGGTGATTTTTCTTAAATATATAATAAGTTCATTAAGTGAATTTATTCGTTAAAATTATAAATTATTAAAAAATAAATAGAATACTTAAGAGATTAAAATATTTATTTATTAAAAATAATATCTGATTATATACCTTTTAAACTTCAGAAATGATTCTGATTTAAATTAAAATTGATTTACTGTTAATAAATATCAGTTGATTAATTTAATTATTATGATTTGAAAGATTATTATTTAAAGATATATAAGTACTTTAAGAAAAAGTAATATATTTATAGAAAATCAGATGGTTAGAGATGTTCATTAAGAATGTTGAAGTCAATTCGATATTTAGAAAAAGATTTATAATTATTTTATAAATTCAGATAATTATAATTAATTTAATTCAATCTAATGATATTAGAAATAAATCTATCATGTCTATGGCTGTATCTTCATCTGTTTATATAAATTCTTTGATATTTTTCAATTGAAAATCATGAGTTTTAGTTAAATAAACAATTTAATCTAAAGTTTTGACTTTATTTTATTTTGCAAATTCTTTTAAATCTTCAAATAGCTCTTAATTATTTAATTATTTTTCATATTGTTCTAATCTTTTTAAAGCCAATTCTTTGTAATAATCTTTTACTTGTTACTATATTATTAAATTAATAGATTACTTTTGGCTATTATGGATGCATTGTTAATTAAGCATGAACAGCTGATTTTCTCTTTATTCTTTGCATTTTCTTTTTATCTCTTATGATGAGATCTTATACATCATGCATAAATTATGCTGCTTTTAATGGTTCAAATTAATTTAAATTAAGATTTCCACTTGCAAATTCCTCAATTTTCTATATATTTTAATCAATAAATTTTTTAATATCATCATCTTCATCTTTAAAAGTTACTCTAGATTTTAATTTTTCAATAATTTATAATGCTTATATTGACTCCTATTTAACATCCTTACCTGCTGAATTAAATTCCATTAATTTAGACATTATTTATCTTATGAATCTATCCAAAGCTTCTGGTGTTATACCCTCTTTATCTAAATTTATTTATTTTCCTCCAACTCTAATTGAATTACTTGTTGTAAACAATACTTAATTTGGTGTTACTCTATGTACTGGTCCTGTAAAAGTAGTTAATTAACATTAAGGATCAACACGTATCATTTAATAAAATATTTCATCCTTAATGTCTTATAATACTTTTGTAAAATCTATTTTTGTATTTTATATTAAATCTATTTGAGATGATAATATCCCTGAATTATGAATAATCATTTTCAATTCAGCTGCTACTGAATGAGAAAAATCATTTCCCAAAGCTAAAGTATGAAATTTAAATTGATATCCTTAAGAATGAAGTTATTCAAATTCCTTACTCATTTCTTAAAAGTATTCATTTATACCATCATGCTCTCCAATTCCATCAGTTACAAAAACGATGAGAATATTTTGCAATAAATTACCAGATTTTATTAACTTTATTAATTCTTTAAATCCTAGTTCTATGTTTGTCCCTTCACCTTTTTAAGTAGTTAATTATGGACTTTCTTATAGTATTGCTGTGTCATCATACTATATACAATAAACACTTTTGAATCCAGTCACAAAGTAATTCCATGCTTTACATAAGTCATTCCAAGCTTCACACATTGATCCTGATCCATCAATTATACCTACAACACTATATTCCTAAACTACTGCTGATTCTTTTAACCAATATATGTAGGGAGTTGTCATTTTTAATTAATATTATAAAATTTAATAAAAATGATTTTCTTTAAGAAACAATATTTTAAGTTTATTATTATTATTAAATAAAATCAATTAGGAATTTATTAAGGGTTTTTAAGACCAATATTATAATGGCCTGGTTAAATCAATAATAAAATTGATTAATTTTAATTTGAATTATATTCTCTCAAATGGAAGTCACCATTTTCAAAAAATAGTAATTTAATTGTACTATAAAATAACAATATAATATAAAATTACATGTCTAAATAATTTGCTAATATAGAGATGACAATCTCATTTGAATTACATTCAGTTTCCCACTTTAATAATGTTTATTCATCATCAATCAATTATTTTTAATCACTATTTTAAACTAAATAATAAGCTAGATTTCTAAAGAATATTGTTGATAATCCATATAGACATCCATCTATTCCTTCATTTGGAATTTCATCATAAGCTTAAAAATTTTTAATAAATGCCTTAATTCTATCTTCTTTATTTTCTATTTATCTAAATTATTATAATCTATATAAAAATTCATTATAAATAGAATTATGGAATTCATCATTACTAAATATTTCATTCATTAATTAGATTTAACATTTAAATTTTCCATTTAATTTATTAATAAATTCATTAAATTCTTAAGAAGTATATTATCCTATCAAAATTTAAATTAACTAAAATCCAAAAGCAGTATAAAAGCAATTTCCATCTCCTCTAACTTCTCTGAAACCAGTAACTAATTCTTTTAGTTGTTATTTTTATTGAATACCCCTGATCCCATAGTGTTTACAAAATTAATGAAAATCTTCCACCTCTCTAATAAATTATAAATAACTTCCTTAAGCTGATCTCTTTCTAGTTGTTTCATTATAAATTTGATTAATTATATTTATACTTAATTAATATCTATTAGGATCCTATTAAATTAATTAAGTTAATTATTTATTTTAATATTGAAAATTTAAACCTTAATTTTAAGGAATTTGAATTAAACTCTAAAATTATCTTTACTATTTTTAACTGTTATTATTTATTTAAAACTATGACTAATTTTGCAAAGTTTTAGTCGGAGATTATCCATTTGATAAAAAATTAAACTATTATTATTATTATTATTATTATTATTATTATTATTATTATTATTATTATTATTATTATTATTATTATTATTATTGCTATTATTACTATTGCTATTATTACCATTATTAAAATTGCTATTATTTTTAAAAATTTTGATTAATTGATTAATTAAAATTTTATTACTATATTTATTAAATATCTTTTGGTTAAAATGTAATAGGGTTTTACTAAGCTTGATTGGAAAAATTTTACTAATTTGTATTTTGATTTTCTGATTTATTTACTCCAAACAGAAATTACTAATTTTACTGTGATATTGGATTAGTTTGCATATTATTATTTTAAGGTGGAAGATTTTTATTAATTAATGATAATTGAGAGTTATTTTATTTTATGAATTTGATTTATTGATTAATTGGTTTATTGAAATCATTATTTTGTATTTAGTTTTGATCAACATTCTTCAATTTATCAATTTATTCATTTATAGAATTTATCCCTTTTTATAACTCTTAAATTTTATTATATATTTCCCCTAATTGTTATTAAAAACTAGGATTATTTGAAGTTTCTTAATGTTATTATTTTCTAATCAAATCTTACAATTAAATATGGATTTAATTTTAATAGATAGCTTCCATGTATTCTAATTTTTAATTCTATTTAGAAAACGATTGATTTATCAACTCATTTTTTTCTTCATTTTGTCTTTCTAATTTTTAAAATCTTTCACATAATTCCTTTAAATTCATTCCAATTTAAATAATGTAATCTTTTTACAAACTTAAATCTATAATTTTTTATTAAAATTCCTCTTAATTCTAATTTATTTTTGTATAAAATTTTTATTCAAAATTTTCAGTCAAACATTTTATTTATGTCTCAAAATCTTTATTTCGTTAAAGATGGTTTGATATTTCAATGCTTTTCTTTTCCATTTGATCCATCTTCGTTAATATATAATTGATTTAGTTTTTTAATTATTGTATTTCTAAAGGTTATATTAGTTTTTAGTTCTAAATTATACTGTTTTGTTATTGCTTTAGCTAGTCTAGAAATCTTGTTTCTAAAATCCCACATTGAAATTCAATCTATTCTTTAAATTCTTGTTAGATTATATTTTTGATCCTCATCTCTAAAGTATTAATCTTCTATTTTTAATTTTATTAATAGTCTAGACTTTCTCCAATATATTCATTTAAAGCAAAAATTTTACTCTTTATAACCATCTAATCTTCTTAATTAGATTGTAATTTTTCTATTATTTATTATTTATATTGTAAGAGGATCTTTGCTTAATCTTTAGTAAAAGCTTATTCTATTTATTTATTATCATCTCCTTGAGAATTTCCCATAGTAATTCTATTAACTTTATTTTATTTATATTTTATGTATTGAATTTATCAATTATTTTTTAAATATAAGAAAATATAGAAGTATTATGATAATGGTGGCATTCATATTTTTAAATATGTTAAGAAAAAGTTAATTATAATAATAATTCCTTAGTTATTTAATCTTTGTACGATTATCAATTATATTATTTTTTAATTTACATACATTAACATTAAATATCTATAAAACGATATTAAGAATTATAAATTAAATAAAAATTAAAAAATTATTCAGATTAGATATTCTTAATTAAAGATAATAATTAGTTTAAATGAGAAGCTATTGTATGTGAAAATAAAGATATAAGAGAAACAAAGAATATTAATAAAATTCAATCAATCTAAAAGGTGGCTTCCATTATAGTAAGATAGATACCTTCAACACCATCTAAATTTCCCAAATATTTCTACATTATTTAAAAATGAGTGTATGGGTTTTATAGTTTTGATTTGCATAAAACATAATTAAATATAGTTATCATTTCATCTGTACTCATATTAGATGGTTGTTAAGCAAATTATTAATAATAATCCAAAATTGTAGAATATATACATTAAAAACACATTATTAACTATTTTATTTTATGATGAGGAGTTTATCTAAATTAAATAAGTTGTAAGGCCTATATGGCTTTTTCAAAAGGTGATTAATGAAAAAAAGTACCTTAAAGCAATCTTGCTTAAGGTCTAGATGGTATCTATGTAATATCAACATCTTCTATGATAAGAGTTTCATAATTATCTTATTATTATAGATTATTATTATTATTCTATGGATTTGTATTAATCTTAGATGATATTTTAGTTTAAATATAATCTCTAGTGGTGCAATCTAAACAAAATTTAATAGATGTTCCAAAATCTGCCAAAGTTTTATTTTGAGATTATAACAATTTAATATGTATCCTTTCATTTTCTTGTATTTATTCCAACTTTTTGATTTAGTAAACATAAGAAGATATTTCATCATTAAAGATCATATTAGTGACAAGACACTGAAGTGATTAAAGATTCAGAAATTGGCACTAATTCATCATAGCATAGTGTCTAAGATCATAATAATGTATTAAAATCTAAAATTAATTATTTAATTACTTAGACATATGAATCTCTAAATTTAATTAATAATGTATCTAATTCTTGACTTGTTTTAGGAAGTTATGTTTGTCGAAAAGTTTAAAAGATTTCTAATAGGCTGCCAGAGAGAGTTGATAATTAATTAATGATTTTTTGCTCATAATCTTATAAGCAAGGATCACAATCTTAGAGCAATGTTGTAACTTAAAATTCTTTAAATGGATCTATGGTTTTTTTAGATCGTTTCATATTTTCTAACTCTGTTGCGAAGAGAGATTCATTGGTACTCATTGTTATAATTTACTCAGGCTCTGGTTTAATTATTTAGTATAAGGAAATAAAGTTGTTTTTATGAAAACGATCTGATCTGACATTTATATCATATCCTAATTTTTATACTTCCCTTTCTACTCCAATATACCATTGATTCTAAATTATCAAAAGAAATATTACTTAATAGGTTTTGTAGATATCATAAGGGTTCTCGAACTGATTAGCCTGGTTATTGCCCATTAATTAATATATAAATTTAATTCAATTAACTATTCTAAATGTTTCCAAATTTATACATTATTCAATGGCTGAACGCTTTTTCAGATGATATATTTGCACTGTCAATAATTATAAAGAACAATTAATTAATTTTAATTATTCTCCAATATTATTCTTTTTTTTATTTGTCTTTTGTATTCCTCAATCTATTTCTCTAATGATTCATCCTACAATTTTTTCCAATCATTATTTGACCAAGATTGAACTTCTTTCTAAATAAAATTCATTTTATATAAAATTCAATCAGGGATTTTTAATACTCAATCATATCATAATGAAAATAAGGAAGACCTTAAATATTTTTATATAAATTATGAATTTATAAAAAAATAAATAGTCATCTCTAAAAAATAAGTAAATTTAACATACTTTCCTCTTTCCATCATTATAAAAATGGAAAACTTTAATTTATTTATAATTAACATCAAAGTCCCAGCCTCATCATTTAAATTAATGTTATAATTGAATTGACTTCATTCCAGACCTTTGTTTAAAATCTTCCATAATTTTACATAAAAATATTGTCAAATTATAATATACTTGATTTCCTACAAAAGTATTTAAACATTAAAAAGGAATAATTCACAAACTAATCTTATATAATTATTTAATACTTCAATGTTGAAATTTAGATTCATTAGACTTTACTTAATTACTTAGATTAGAAATTGCAATAGTAATTTAATAATTTTAAATAGTTACATACTTTATGTCTCTAAACAATTTTAAGTCTTTAAAAATGTTTATAGACTAACTTTTTAATAGAACTTAAATATTTATCATTTAAAAGTACATTTCTTTAAAGATTAAACAATTATATTGATTATATTTCTTTTATAATATTTTTAATCAACTCCAAAATTATTAAAAATCATACTCCTTAAAATATTTATTTTGATATTCCTTCTTTTAGAATATTAAAGTTTATTAATTACTTGCATTTTTTATTCTATATCATTCTTAGTACATCAATTAGTCTTTATATGTTAAACTGTATTATTTTAAATAGTTTTCATCAATTCTTTTCATAATATGCTTTATGAATTAAAGAGTTAAATTTTAAGTATGAATAACTGATTAAGCATTAATCATCAATATTATATGACTATTAATTGACAATTAAGTTATTAATGACTTTAGAAGTATTATTAATAAGTAACCATCCACATTTATCGCATGTAAGTATGATTCTGAAGATTACTTATCGTATATCAACAGATGGAATTTATAAAAGAAATTTAGCTAAGATTTAGTTATTTGTTCTTCAGAAATAAAAATTAGATATAATGTCTTAAAGTAAAGGGCCTAGTGAAGTTAAGATACATGCTAGTGATAAACTCTCAGATGTAAAAGCAAATCAAGAGAAACCTAAAATGATAGCTTATTTTGATCTATTTAGATTTGCAAAAAAAGAAGATATAGCATTGATGGTTTTGGGTTCAATAGCAGCTTTTATTAATGGTGGAGCTATTCCAAGTTTTTCTTTGATATTTGGATCAATGATAAATTCATTCTAAGAAGCAGGAGATGAAATGGTTAGACAGGCAGGATGGAATGCATTGTATATTATCAAATAATATCTTAGATGGTTCTTGATTGTTGCTATAGGTACTGGGATTTTATCGTTTACAATGTTTTCAACTTGGATGATATCTGGAGAAAGATAAGGGATAGAATTTAGAAAGAACTATTTTAAAGCAATATTAAAATAGGAAGTTGGATGGTTTGATACAATAAATCCAAATGAGTTGAATAGTAAGGTAGCAAATGAATCATTTGCAGTATAAGGTGCAATAGGAGAAAAGGTTCCAACATTTATAATGACTTTTTCAATGACATTTTTTGGATTTTTATATGGATATATTTGGTAATGATTCTAATTATGATTTAGGGGTTGGCAATTAGCTATAGTAATAACTGCAACACTACCAGCTTTAACAATTGTAATGTCTATATTTTCGGTGGTGATTTAATAATCAGCTGCTGCGACTTAAGCTGCATATAGTGAAGCTGGAGCTTTAGCTGAATAGGCTATAAATTCAATAAAGACAGTAAAGATGTTAGATGGAGAAGATTATGAGCATCAGAAATATTATCATCTTTTAGAAGGAGCAGCACATAAAACTATGAAATATGATTTAGGAGTAGGATTGGCAATAGGATTGTTATGGGCTGCTAGTTTATGGTCATATGCTTTAGGATTTTGGTATGGTGCAAAGTTGATAGCAGATTAAGTAAAATAATAAGCAATGTATTTTAGACATATAATCATAATTAAGGAGATGTTTACACTGTTGGAGATGTTATGACAATATTTTTTGCTATAGTTACTGGAGGGTTTTCATTAGGATAAGCAGGACCATGTGTTTAGAATTTTGCTAAAGGTCAAGCTGCAGCAGCAGAGATGTATGAAATATTAGATAGACAACCTAAAATTTATAATCCGAAAAACCCTATAAAATTATTAGATTTTAATGGAGAAATAGTATTAAAAGATCTAAAATTTAATTATCCAAATAGACCTGATTAAGTAGTATTGAATGGATTATCATTGAGAATACCTCCTGGTATGAAAGTAGCTTTGGTTGGTGAAAGTGGTTGTGGAAAATCAACAGTAATGTAACTTATTGAAAGATTTTATGATTGTGATTCAGGAGAAGTTCTTTTTGGTGGACAATAGGGGATTAATGTTAAAGATTTAGATCTTATTGATTTAAGAAGTAGAATTGGTTTAGTAGGTTAAGAACCTGTTTTATTTGCAACAAGTATCAAAGAGAATTTACTTTATGGAAAGATTGATGCAACTGAAGAGGAAATGATAGATGCATTAAAGAAGGCAAATGCTTGGGATTTTGTATCAAAAATGGAATAAGGATTAAATACTTATGTTGGTATTGGAGGTAGTTAATTAAGTGGTGGATAGAAATAAAGGATTGCTATTGCTAGAGCTATTTTAAAAAAACCTTAAATTTTATTATTAGATGAAGCTACAAGTGCTTTAGATAGAACTAATGAAAGATTAATATAATAAACATTAGATGAAGTATCAAAAGGAATTACTACAATTGTGATTGCTCATAGATTGAGTACTATTTAAAATGCAGATATAATTTATGTTATAGATAAAGGGTAAGTTGTAGAAGCAGGTACACATTAAGAGTTAATGAATAAACATGGAAAATATGAAGTATTGGCAAAGAATTAAATTAATAATACTGAAGATGATACTTAAAAAATGAAGATTTAAAATTCTAAATAAAAATTATAACCTTTGAATTAAGTGGATGTAGAAAAAAATAATACTTAAAAAATGATATCAATGAATGTAATGGAAAATAAAAGTATAACAGAAGAAGTTATTGATTAATATAAATAATTATAAGAATTAGATGTTTTAATTAAAAGTTAAAAAGAAATACAGAATTCTACTGATATAAAATATGATAAAGTAAATTCAAATGATAAACCTAAAGAACCTGATGCTTAAATGGGTAGACTATTTACATACAATTAATCAGAGAGATTATAATTTATTATTGGAATTTTAGCAGCATTAGCTAATGGTTGTACTTTTCCATTATTTTCTTTATTTTTATCTGATATAATAACTGTATTAGCTTAATCAAATCCTAAATAATATAATGGAACTATTAGAGAAGAGAAGATGTCTTATGTTAAAAGTGAAGCTGATAAAAATGCTTTGTATTTTTTTATTATTGGATGTGCAGCATTTTTATTATGGGCAATATAATCATTTTGTTTAAGTTATGTTGGTGAAAGATTAACTTTAAAATTGAGATCAGATACATTTAGAAAATTATTGAGAATGCCAATTCCATATTATGATGAATCAAAAAATAATGCTGGAACATTAACTAGTAGACTTGCAGTTGATTGTAAACTTATTAATGGATTAACATCTTCAATTATTGGAATTAATTTAGCTAATTTTGCTTCTTTAGTTTGTGGATTGACTATAGCATTTACATCAAGTTGGGCACTTACTCTTGTAACTCTTGGAGTAACACCCTTCTCATTTATCTCAGGTGTTTTACAAGCTAAATATTTATAAGGTTTTTCTGCTTAAACTGATGAAGCTTATAAAGATTCAGGTAATTTGATTATGGAAGCTGTTACTAATATAAGAACAGTTTTCTCTTTTGGGAATGAATAAATTATTCTTGGAATCTATTCTAAAAAAGTATAAATGCCTTTAGAAATGGCTAAAGAAAAAGGATATAAGGCAGGACTTGCTATGGGTCTTTCTTAAATGAATATATTTATTATGAATGCTATTGTATTTTATGTTGGAGCTATATTCTGTAGAGATATTGATTTAAGTGTAAATGATATGTTTAGGACTATATTTGCATTGACATTTGCTACTATGGGAGCTGGGAATAATGCAGCATTTGCAGGAGATATTGGAGCAGCTAAAAATGCAAGTAAGAATATTTTTGAGATATTGGATAGTGAAGATGAATTTTAAAGAGAAGAAAGATTAAAAAAATAGAAATTAACTAAATCTATTGAAGGAGATATATGTTTTAATAATCTTACATTCAAATATTAATCTAGAGATAAAAATGTATTTGAGAATCTTAGTCTTACTGTAAAACCTGGATAAAAAGTTGCATTTGTTGGACCTTCTGGTTGTGGTAAATCTACATTAATGCAAATGTTGATGAGATTTTATGAACCAGATTAAGGTATTATTACAATTAATGGAATTGATATTACTGATTATGATATCCGTTATTTAAGAAGATAATTTGGTATTGTATCTTAAGAACCAGTTTTATTTAATGGAACAATAAAAGATAATATAAAATATAATATATCATAAGCTACAATGGAATAAATTGAAAATGCAGCCAAAAAAGCTAATGCTTATGATTTTATTTTAAATAATTAATTTGAAGAAACATAAGCAGAATAAAAAGGAAATGAATAATAAAGAGGTTAATGTTTTGATAGATAAGTTGGACCTAAAGGAACTTAAATATCAGGAGGATAAAAATAAAGAATAGCTATAGCTAGAGCTGTATTGAGAGATTGTAATCTTTTACTTCTTGATGAAGCCACTAGTGCTTTGGATGCTGAAAGTGAATAATTGGTTTAAAATAGTTTAAATTAATTAATGCAAGGCAAAACAACAATTGCCATTGCTCATAGAATATCAACAATTAAGGTATATATTTTATATTATAACTTTATTAGGATTCTGATGTGATCTATGTATTTGAAGAAGGAAAGATTGTTGAATAGGGTTCATATTAATAATTAGTCAATTAAAAGGGATCATTTTATAAATTAGAGTAAGGAATTTCTTAGTGATTTTGTTATTAAATATATTTAAATTATTTCATATAATTATATTATAATTCTTTTTCTACCTATAAAAATTGAAATTAATAAACTAAAAATATAACATATAAATATTTAATATATAAGATATAATATCTAATAAAATGAGTTAATAATAACTTTTTGTAGTTAATCATTTTAAAATGATTGTATTATAATGATTAATAATTGGATTTTAAATTTAATCAGTGAGAAATAACAATTTTTATAATAATAAATAAATTTTTTTGGTAATTCACTTTTTAATATATTAATCAAGTGTATAAGTGTGTGTTTAAGTATTTTAGCATATAACTTTAACTTAAAATTTTTTCCAGTTATAGTTTTCAATTGAGGAGACTCCAGCTCTTCTTTATATATTTTAGTTTAATTATATATTTTTATACTGTCTATAAATATTTTTAGCTGCTGTATAATTGATACCTAATAGTTCGGAAGACTTTTGAGAAATATTATTTAAGTATACTTGTTTAATAGTCTTATTTAAAACAAGAACCATGTATATGAGAATCCATCTAAGTGTGATTGTAGCTTTATTATATCTTTTTGAAATGCTTTTGCCATATTTAACTTGCATTTAATGCTCAACTTCTTATTTGATTTAATCTAAGATTTTCATTGATGATATTTGTTTTATAATAATTAAAATTAAATACGTTGTTAGTGAATATTGCGTAATATTTTAATGAATAAAGAATGATAAGTATATTAAGAAAGAAAATTTAGTTGTTGAATTTAATTAAATTCAAAAAATGAATACAAGATAAAAGTTACTATAAAATATTAGTTATATAGCAGGTGATGCAAGAATCAAATAATAGAATCAAAGTAATTTAAGAATAAGATCATAAAAGTCTAGAAAGGAGAATGCTAGTTTCATTGTTACAAAATAAACATAATAACCTAAAGCTAATATCAATCTCTATTAAACCCAAATACATTCACCAATAAAAAATAGAAGCATGAATTAGAATAAAGAAAACAATATAAATTATGCATACGTACCATTAAAAAATTCAGATGAACTAATTATAAATAGTGCAGAATCACATTCGCTTAATTTATCATATTCACCTTCATCTAAAAAGAAGCCATAACCATCATGTTTCGTATTGCCTTCGAGAAGCATCAAACCTAAAATAAAATTGACAAAAAAAGCTCTAGAAATTAGAAGTATATATTTGGATAAACCAAAACCAAAACAGAATAATTTTATTAACATAAAAGGTACATAAAAAATAATCAGGTGAGAATGAATATCTAATTATGCATTTTTATTAAACAATACATTATTTGAGTTATTTTAACTCTGTATTACTTATATTATTTACAAATCATTTTAATTAAATCTTTACCTCAAATGAGCACTGCACAAAAAATAAAAAGAAGATAGTAGCCATCAGAATAGATGGGATTTTGTGTTTAATGTTTAAATTTCATACCAATTACTTAAATTGATCTTCACTGTCGTAGCTGCATGTAAAATACAAACAAACTCAATACCTAAATTGATTAAATCTCATAATAATTACTCCATATAAAAACAATAGCTATTAAAGGAGCAGAAAAATTAGATGATAACAGTGAAAAATACAAATTCCTTATAAGAATATAGGAGCTAAGTACACAAATTGATGCCATTAGATGCTATAATAGTTAGAGCGTCAAAAAATTAAGAGACATTGAAAGTGAAGTAAATGTACTGATAGCATATCCTTAAGCATCAATTACTATAATGATGTTGTTAAGTAGATTATTAGCTTTAGTGAAAGAGAAATTAATGTTACAAAATCAGAAAAAACTTGTCTCTCAAAATTCATTTCCATAGGGAGTTGATACTAGAATAAAGACTGAATCATAGTGTTAGGAAGCTAGTGAAGCTGAATATACATATAGACAATTCAAATCAGAGAGAGATATAAGAAAAGTATCTGAATTTAAAAGAACATTTTATTCAAAATGTTTAGAATTGAAACTTCAGCTTTCTAAGAAGGATCCTGCTTAATCTATTCTAGTTTAAGATCTATTTTAAATAGTAGTTAAAGAGAATTACAATCAGGAGGAAGCAGTAAGATTTGTAAGAAAATGTTTTCAAGTAGGAAAAATTATTTAAGTATGAGTATTCTTTTTATATTTCTAACTTAATTAATTATTAAATCGTTAAATTAATGGATTCCTCTCGACTATCAGATTATCAGATTATAGCTTCAAATAGGAATGGAATTACAATATAGTAAATAAAGCAAATGTAAGTACAGATAATGGAATGTTCAGATTAAGCATTAGAAAATAATTCTGAATATTTAGAGTAATTGATGAATTTGGCAACTATAATCAATTATAAGATGAAGACTTTATGAGTATTATTATAATTACTAATATAAAAAGTTAATCAGAATTTAGATGGTTCTGCTATCATAGCTTCATTAGGATCATAATTATATCCATCGAATTAAGCTATATAATACAATTATTAATTATAAATACCTTAGATAGAGTTCCTTCGAAGCAACATATTAATTTCATTTGCATCCTATTCTGTATCCTGAGTAGACCCTCCTTAATTACTGGAACTACGAGGAATATAGGGAGGATGCAATTCTTTATTTAGTAATTTATTCCACTCAAATCCTTTAAACCATGGATGATTTTTTACAGCTTCTGGATTATCTGATCCTAATCTTTAAACTGGTTTTCGTTAAATCAACTTATAAGTTTAAATTTATATTACTTGATTGGCAAAATCACCAGCTTCTAAAGACCATGAAACTGGCATTTCATTTCTTTTAATTTACACTTATTTGGCTAATACATTATCTCTTATCTCCTATCTAGATTTCCCTACATATGGTCTTCTTCCCAACATGCATTCATAAACTATAACACCCAAAGCAAAATAATCAACAGCAATGCCATGATTTTATCTACATAGTACTTCTGGTGCCATATAGCCAGGAGTTCCACTTGTATCAGATGAATTATCGGGTCTCCATATACGAGCTATTCCTAAATCTGTCAATCTAAGATAGCCTTCAGAATCAAACACTAAATTCTCAGGTTTCAAATCTCTATGGATTATACCTTATGAATGCAGATATTCTAGTGCAATGATAATACATGCACAAAAGAATTCTAAATTCTATATTGAAATATATACTAGTTTCTTCCTCTGAAAATTTCTTATTCTTTCCAATATGATAACGGAGATCTCCTCCACTTAATAAATCCATAACAAGATATAAGTTTTCTCTATCTTAAAATGCAGCTATCATATTGATCAGAGATGGATGTCTTAGTTAACTCAATAGTGTTCTCTCATTCATTACTGAAGATACACTCTTTTTTGAGATGACCCTTATTTTATAACAACAAATTTATTACTTTGCCTTTGACATCACTTTTAGAGCAAAATAACTTTTGTTTTTTCTTCTCTTAACTTTCCAAACCTTCCCAAATCCTCCTTTCCCCAGGACTTCAATAAATTCAAAGTTATGCACGGACAGAACTTCTTTATTAAATTCTAAGTACTTGCTGAATCTGGAAGGTCCTTCTTATCAGTAATATTGCAATTTCCCATTATTTAATTAATATAACGATGTTATACATCAATTAATAGATATATATATGAATAAAACACAAGAATCTTTAAAGATTAAATATAAAGTATTCAATATTTAAGTTTTGGTAAGATCTCACTTTCTTCTGTTTTTTCCAATCCAACCATAGTAATCAATGGACATTTTTGATTCTCAAATTCTCTTTTTAATTTACTCTCACCTCTAATTCTTAAACTATTCTCAAAATCTGTTTGTTTTAATAATAATGTTTTCGAATTTAAATTTATTCTTTAGGATCTAATAGTATGATCATCTTCTTTTTCTACTACAGAGTTTGATCCTCTTAATTATTGGTACCAATTTTTAGGAGGAGATGGCAATTCATTAAGGATTTCCTTTTTCAATCTATAAGCTGTTAACCTAATATTTTTACATGTTACTACCTTAACTCTTCTATAATAAAGTTAATTTTTCTCTGCTTCTTGTTTAACATTTACTTTATATTGTCATATTAACTAATTCCCAAGATTACTCTCTTTCTTAAAATTAAGTTATAACTCTTTATTATCTAGTATTTGCATTTCTTTAAAATATATTTAATTATTTCTCTATTTTTAGTTCTTCATTTTCATTTTTTTGTATTCTATTTTTTGTTTCTTATAAATATTATTCTATATTAACATTTGCATGATGATTTATTAATGCTGCCAAAGTAGATTTATTATGTGAAACTTGTCGAGATAGGATATTAGAATGAATAGGATCTTAAAAAAGAGGTATTTTATTGGATGATTATGATTTCTTCATATTAGAGAGATTAGAATAGGATTATTTCATTTTTTAGAAAACAATTGAGTTTTTCATTTTTGGAGAATTAGATAATTTTGATTCTTCAATTTTCTTTTTTATTTTATCTATAATATCTGGTTTTCCAACAACACTTCTAGCTATAATTTTATTATTGTTATCATATTTTGGTCCATATTAGGGATTATGTTCATCAAAAATGTTATTTGAAATTTAAGGTTGTAATTTAAAACTCTTAATTTTATGCATGAGGAACATAGTCTTAGTTTATTGGAGATGATCTTACATTAAAAATATATTTATATTAAAATTCACTATAATTAAATAATTCTATAGGAAGATCGACGACTAATATCACGCTTATTATAATTTGAGTAATTAAAATCTTAATTCTGTTGTTATTATACAATATCTTAAGGTAAAAACATTAAATCTGTAGCTTCTTTTGATTCCATTTTCAATTTACTATTTCCGTTAATAACAAGATAATCAGCATCATAATACTTATTATTTAATCTTTGATTAATCATATTCTTAAATTTGTCGCTATACATTTTTACATGATTGACATTTTTAATTATCTCAATAGATGGTTCAATTGATTAATTATAATTTCTTAACTTTGCATACCATTCCTTAACATTTGGTTCCTTCTATAAAACATTTAATGAATCCAATAACTATTTCTTTTCTCTATATCCTTGACTTCTTCTTATAAGAGTGTTATTATGAGAACGTTCACAACGATTTGCTAATTCCTACTCTAATTGATTCCATTTATCTTACTATTCTTCACAAGATTCTAAAATTCTTCTCTATTTAGTTAATAGATTTCTCTCAATTATAGGTAGAGTCTCTTCTTGAGATCTGAGAGAAGATTAAGAACACTTAATATTGTTTTGAACTTTATCAATATGCAAGAGAATTTCTTCCTTTGAAATCTTGCTTAATTGAATAGGTTCTATTTTTTTCTTGATGTTTTTTTTCTTATTGAATTAAGTAATAACAAAAGATTTTAACATAGAAGATTCTTCATCAGTAACTCTACTATCATATTATACTTTGCCTTCTCTTTAAAATTAATCAACAGTTCCAACAATGGATCTCTTAATGACTTCACCTCTATCATCATAACGTGGACCTTAGATGATTCCATTGATTTGTTAATCTTTAAAGATACTTGTACTTTATGATCTAGATCTCTAGATTTCTTTACATGGTTATGCAACAAATAGTACTTTAATATTTTATATACTCATTATTTGATCTATCGTCATATCTCACTAATACTATTAAAGACTCTAACTAACGGGTTCTATCTTTATATTCTTTCTCTAACTGGGCTCTTAATATATATCTTAAGATTTTGTGAATTCTACTTGTTTTGGAGATGTAAAATGCTAATAAGTTGGTGTTTGTATATTGATTGGGAATTGTCTCATTGGAGATCGTACTATTAATTATTTCTTTGAATTTTCTAGTGGCATTCCTATACAATATTTTAAACCTTCATTCAAACGAGCCACAAATTTTTCGATTGATAATTATATGTTACGATAATCTTATTTCCATTTTGAATCCATATAATCTAAAAATCCTTATACATCATCTACTTCTTTAGCATTCAAAGTCTCTATTTACATATCAAATAAATGGCAAAATTCAGCTGTAAATTAGTTATGGAAATATGATTTTATCATTTTTAGAAAGTTATCTTTCATTAATTCAAGTAAACGAATTTTTCTTAAAAGTATTGCACTTTCTTTATTGTTAGCCATTTCCAATTCTTTCTTTTAAGCAAATGATTATATTTATTAAAATGCATTTTCAATGTCTAATTCCAAATTTGAAGATGTCTTCAATTTTTGATCTAATTCATTTAATTTAGCAATAAAAATGATTCTTTCATTTATTTTATCCTCTTTCAATTTTTCATGTTATTTAATTAACTAATTCTTTGTTTCTTCTATTTTTTTTGAAACATTTCTTAAACATCTTTCAATTCCTTCTTATAAATAATCATCATATTATTCATTCTCAAAAACATTATCTTATTCACCATTAATTAATTATAATAATCCTGCTGATGAGTTCTTTTTATTACTAAAATATGTAGCTAAACAACCATTCTCATAAATATTATTTAATTCCTCTAATTTATGATTACGATCATGTAATTTAACAGCACATGTTGAACACATTACTCTTTATTAACAATTTCTTTCTAAACAAATCCAACTAAGAGATTATTTAGGGTGATTTTTACACATTTATTCATTTTCCATTTTTAACGATTATCTAATTAATTATAGAAAACTTAATTAAAAATAATAAACTAATAATAATATATTAATATCATACATTAAATCAAGAATCTAAATTATGTAAATTAATACTATCATATTTATTATTTCTTATATTTAAGTTATATTAAATTATAATATTATATAAATGGTTAAAAAATCATACATAAATAAATCTAAGCACCAATACACTTAAACCAATAGATAAAATTATTCCACAACCTAAACAATCTAATAAGATTTCTAATTTTCCAATTTTTTTTGTTTATAATTCTTAACTTGATTCAATCAAATTCAATTCTTAAACTTTTTTATTGTTAAAATATTTCATTTTAATATGACAAGCAATTGGTAAAATATATCCTATTATAGTTCCTATGATTGCACTTATTATTATTATTATATAATTACCCTGTGTAACTTATTAAATTTTCTAAATTTAAATTCATCATTTCAAAAAATAAACAAATAAATGCAAATACAAATGAAAAAATAATTAGCATGTAAGGTTTAGGATTTTTAGCATTGAAGAATGCAAAAAATCTTAATCTAGCTACATATTAAATAATTGGAAGAAGCAAACTAATTTAAATAAATAATAGAATCTATTTAATTTATTTATTATTTACTTGTAGAATAATTACAAATAATTATGATTATGGAAAATAATCTAAAATTGTAAATCCAGATAATCCTTCTTATGGTTTTCTTTCAAATAGTGCATAACTACCAAAAAGACCAACAACTTAATAAATTGTAAATGTTAAGATATAGGCAATTATAATATCTCTTGATTTGTGTTTACTTTCTGATTTAGATAGAAGTGGAACCACTAAACTATGACCCAAAAAGGCTAATTAAAACACACTAGGTAATACAGCAATCTATATAATAATAAGGAACTATTTATACATCATTTGATTTCCATAGAGAAATAGTTGGTGATTAGGAACCTTAGAAAATAATGAAAATAACAGCTAAAAGTGTTGCTAAAGATGCATAAGTAGGTAGTTTAAGTAATGGTGTAATATCTTTGATAAAAAATGTAGGTAACAAAATAAGAATGTAAATCATTCCAAGAATTTAGTATGAGAACTAACTAAAAGTGAATACATTCTAATATTATATCTATATTATCTTACTTATGGAGCTGAGTTAACAAATAAGGATATCACAGAATAAATGAGTGAACAAGAAATTATTACTTAAATTTATGCACAAGCAATGTAAAAGATGATTGTTATGAAATTGAATGATGTTTAAAATTTGGGTCCTAAAATTCGATTAATCAGAAATTGTAAGTCAACCTATAATAAACTAGTATTAAGACTTCTTTTTTTAGATGATATTTCTTAACAATCAGACATGTAATACAGGATGTCAAACATATGATGAAAGAGAAAACTACTCCATTTAAGAACCCATATTGATTATACAAAACAGGAAGTACTATAGGAGCTGATCCAATCTAATAAACAGTAATGAATTTGAAATACCATTCCATTGGATAAAGTAAAGATAGGAATGAAGCTGCTTTTGTTCATGATTATTTATTATAGTGTTCAATATAGCCTATTAATACCTTTAAATTAAGAATAGACGCATTATTATTATATTTAACATGAATAATTAATCAAAAGCAAAGAAAAAAATAAAATCACAAAAAGAATTACACTCAAATCAAGATAGACAAGATCGATTTTAAAGTGGATTCTTGAAAAAAGAAACAGATAAATCATTATAAAATTAATCATAGTAGTAGATTGACATCAATAAAATTAGTAAAGAGTAATTAATAAAATAATTTCCAAATAAGATGTTGAATATGCTTTCATAATAGTTTAAAAAATTAGAGTAGAGTTCAAGTAATTTAAAATTAATGCAAATTAATAAAGATGTGTAACCTCCTGATTTGAATTTAAATCAAATTATTGTTTAATACCATAGTGATATTTTCACTTAATATTCATAATATTAATAAAGTCAAGATTAACTATTAGCTGATTTTATTAAAGGAAATCCTGAAAGAAATTAATAATTTTAATAATTTAATCCACTTAAAATGCCTAATCCTTTTACTTCTAAACTTCAAAAGTTAGAAGAATTATTAACATAAATTTAATGAAATTAATATAACAACAGCATATATAATTGAGAATATTTCTATTATCATTATTATTAGATCTCTATTTTAAATATATATTATTTAATGTAAATATATACATTTATCATAAAATCACAATCTAAAAAGAATAAAGATTAGTAATACTCGTCTTATTGAATCAATTTTAATTGATTTTCTTTGTTGTTACGTTAAAAATATGTTATTGTTCTATTTGTATTTTCATCATAATGAGGTACAATAATATCAAGAAAAACAAATGGTTAAGTGCTACTATTCTTTAATTATTAATATTATTACATTAATAAAACTATGCAAATTACATTTATTTGGAGTAGTATAACAAATATCACCAGTTTTTAAACTTAAACTAGGTAATTCTTCTGCTTCAACTCTAACATCTTATTAAATAGTTGTTTTCTTAAATTAATTGACTTTTTCTTAATCAACCTATTTTATATTCCATCCTTCTCTAATTCCTTCTCCATGTAAAACATAAGATAATACAAACATATCAGGATGATCATGTAAAGGCATAGTTACTTATGGTGCAAGTGTAAATATTGCAAATGCAAAACTATTATCTGGTTCAAATTATATAGGCAACATTGAAATTTCTTAGTACATAGTCAAATTCTTATTTATATAATCTTGAAGAGACTTTGTTTTTAGTGCTTCAATTGTAAATGTTGTTATAGGTTGATAATCAAATGTATCCAAATATTTTGGTCCATGTAATAAAAATTAAGAGTATATTCTTTTGGATTCTTTGATTAAATTTTACATATTTATTATTCGTAATTATAAATTACTTTATACTTTTGATATACAATATTATTCTAAAATCAATTCACATTTTAAACAACAATTTATTTTTTATGTGATAAATCAGTATATATAGATAAACAAAATTTACATAAACATTCATAACTCAAATCTTTTGTAATTGGGTTTTCTAAAGTATAAGATCTGTAAATCTAGGTATTGTTGAAGATATTATGATTTAAATCTTTAGATTTACAAACTATTTAATAAGCATGCATAGGATGATAATCAAGATATTTACAATGGTTACATTGACATGATCTAATTAAATACATTTTCATATTAAGATCAGCCTCACTTACATATATAAACTATTAATGTTAAAATATAATACTCCAGAATTTCCAAACTATCTAAATCCTCTTTATAAAAAAAAAATTAAAGATTATTATGAACGGAGAAAAACTGATATAAAATTTGAAGAAGCTCTACTAAAGACAGTGCTTTAAGCATAAGTATTCTTATACTAATCTAAAATATTTACTTCATAAAAATTGATCTGAGAGAAACTATATTAGCTTTCTTTCAGGGAAATTATTATTAAATTTACATTTATCTTAATTGCACTAATTCTTAATAACTGTTTTTTTAATAAGTTGAGCTACCATAAGCTGCTCATATAAATGTATTTTCATCAGCATGTTTACCATAAATACATTGGAATTTGTTTATGTCTAATAATCTGAATGATCCTGTATTAAATGCTCATAATACATTTTTAATTTATTTTACTCAAGTGTTGATTATTATATGACTTCATATTTGAATAAAAATGATAGGAGACTAAACAAAAATATTTATTTCTTCTTTTTACATAATGATGATGATTCATATGATCATTACCAAAAATTTAACACAAACTTAATTATAACTTTGCCAATATTGAATAGAAATTATATTAGGGAATTTTTAGTATATATTTTATAAACATTAATTACGAGCTCTTTTAATTAATTCTCACAAAAATCTGAACATAAATAAAATTTATTTTATAATTCATCATCTAAATAATTCATTCATATTTGTTAATATATTACTAGTTTTATTCTAAAAATATAATAAATATATAAGAATGACATTGAATAACAATAATTAAAATTTTGAGAATTTTTGTTGAATTATTTAGAAATATGATTAATTTGTATTAAATGTTGTAAATTTATTATATGATCATATTGATAAGTAATTATAGTTTTTAAAGATTTAACTTTCTAGAATATTTGAGAATAGAAAATGATGTAATATAATATTAATTTATTATCAATTAAAGGGGGTAAACTTTATTATTAGAATCAATAAATTTCAGTAATTAATTATTTGATATAAATGTGATCTTCGGCTTATTAGTAATATGTACTCCATAATATTATATTTAAGCAATACAGATTTAATAGAAATCATTCTAAACTCTTATATTTTGAATATGAATGAAAAAATAATAAAGAATATGTATTTTATATTAAATTAAAATATATTGATCAGAAGAATTATTAATGGATGATGAGAAACTTTCTTTGATTTAATTAAAAAGAAACAAAAAATAATATTTTGTTCATTTTTTTTTGATCAATATTGAAACGAAATATAACAACACTAGTTCAATTCTGTTGTTATATTTATCTTTGTTTTTAAGATTCTCTTTTTTTGGTAATCTTTTTATGAATTGAGGGACTTCTTTCAATAGATTTAGTGTCTTCTTGTTCAGATTTATCACATTAGATTTCTTGAGCTTTAATTATTTTTTTATGAATAATTTAAGATACGGTAAGAATTTTCTCTGAAAAAGCCAACCTTTAATCATTTTGAAAATGCATGATTGCCAAAGCCAATTCGAAATGAGAATATTGATAAATTTCGAAGTCTATTTATATATATTATATATATATTTACCTATTAGTATGAACATCAATAAATTTTAGATGTTCTCATCGACTTAAACATTCATGGCTAATAAAAAATCTGATGAAGTTATAAGATTTAACTAATATCCCATGGCTTTAAGAATTTATTCTTCCATTTCATCATATTCCTCATCATTGTACAAGGCCTAGTTATCTTGATTATACAATTTAATTTAAGACATGATCTCTGTCTCATTAAACTAAATTTTATAAGAATTATAAGTACTTTAGAGGCTATTGAATATGCAGATATACCCAACAATTAAAGGTATTCTACAGTGATATTGAAATAATTTAAGTATGTATCTATAATAAGGACAGCCAGTTCTAAGGTTTTTAACGAATGTTTGAATTGAGATGATTGCTAATTATAATATTAAATAATTACTGCCACAGTCCATTAGATTAATATATCCCTTCTGCAAGTACTTGAGGAATCATATTAATAGTATGGATTGAGCTTATTGAGAGTTTTTGGCTAAGAGAATCAATAAAAATGATACTTTTTATCTAGTCAATAAATCTCTTATTTCAGCAAAAGAAATCATGGCTGTACAAATTAAAAAAATAATTATACAATTAATTCCATTTAAATTTGAAATTTATAGATTACTTAATACTACAAAAATGCTTCCTCTATTATTGAACATAATTCACATAAACATCAAGATACTAAAATTTTCAAATTTTTTATCATATAATAAACTAAATGAAAATATTTATGATAAATCATATTACAACAATTATAATTAAATTGCCTTAATCAATTTTATTAGATCTGTATTCCATCAACCAATAGTTACAAATATATAAATATCACTACATACCCTAATAAATTATAAGTAAAAGTCATAAATTTAATTCCATTTTTTGTATGTCTCATAATCTATATCTAAGTTTATGAATTTGAGATCCATTATATTAATAATTAAACACAAATATATTTATTAAGATATTTATAATGTATCATTATAATTTATATATATAAGTGTTTATATAAAAAAGGATATAAACATTGATAGTAAAACAATGATAATAGTAAATTATACGATTTACGTCTTGTTAATAAAGAAATCTTAATAAATAGAAGTCTCGAAGAAATTTAATTTCATTTATAATATACATTTTTTAGACTTCTAAAAAAAATGCTGATATAAAAAAATTGACTTAGCCCAAAAATAAATTCAATAGATCCTATATAATAATACATTTACAAGATATATGGTATATTAATCTTATATTAAAAACCATTTTGTTAATCCAACTCTCAATATTCATTATTTAAATAATTTCATTTTAATATATGAAATGAAAATGTATCAATAAAGGTTATTTGAATATGAATGATCAATCATATATATATATAATTAAATCAATAATACTCAAATAAAGAAGTATAAATATTATACAAATATATATATATATATATTTAGACAAATGATTGATATACTTTAATATATTAATTTAAATATATAGATGATATAAGTAAAATGATATACATAAAATGTATATAAACTAATTATATACTTTCTTTATAAAATAACTTAATATATTATTACAAATAATGAATTCTACATTGATATATAGAGAGATTAAATATAATAATTAATAATTTCCCACTTTTATAACATGTTTCAATTAAGGGTAATCCTTATTTATAGAAATATAGTCCAATTTTTTAAGGAAAAAAAAATGGAATAATTTTTTTCTGGGTAGTAAATTGATTATTTTATAAATAAAAGTATATTATTAATTAATTAATATAATATGCAAACAACAAATGGCATTTCTATTTTATAAATAAAAAATACCCAAGTATCAGTTTGCAATAATAAAAAAAAGGAAGAATTGATATAATTTGATTAATTTGATGAGGATTTGATACCTAAAAGTAAACTATTTTCTCCAATGAATGTAAATTTAAACCTGAAATGTGTTGAAAATTATGGGAATAATAAAATTTATGACATAAATGAAACTGGACCTAATGAATAGTAAAATAAATCAGATTAATTGCTTGATTAACTGAATTCAAAATAAAGAATGGACACTTCACTCTTACAAGTTAACGTAATGACTGAAAGGTTAAATAATCAAAACTTAATATTCTATGCTCCTTAATATATTCCTGATGTTTAACATTTCTTAACTTAACCTGTACCTGTAGGTATCTTTATAAATGTTATTTATTACTAGATAAGATAGTATAATGTACTTTAATTAAAAATAAGAAGGGATTTTGCAATTTCTACCCTAAATTTGAATTGTATTTCTCAGAAAGCTTAAAATTTCTATGTGCTGGTAAAAGACAATCAACAAAGAGGAAATCAAATTATATAATTTCAAGTAATGTAGAGAACTTTAATTCTAACAATAAATCAGTATGTATAGGGAATTTAAAATATGGAACAAATGAGAATTCATTTTATTTATATGATAATGGTAATGATCCTAATAAAAGTGGTCAATTAGAAAATACAAGAAGGGAATATGCAGTTTATTTTTATAAGAAATCTAGCTTAGGACTCAAATCAATAAATGTATTAATCCCATCAATAATTAATGGATAACCTTAAGATTTTAAACCTATTACATAAAATTAAGGTATCTAAAAAGCATTTAGTTAATCAAAGAATGAAAATGTAATGTAATTAGTTTCAAGACATCCTACATTTAGTGAAGAAAAGAATGCATATTAATTAAAATTCACATAAAGAGTGAGAGCAGCTTCTAATAAAAATTTTATTATCATTTCTAATAATTAATAAAATGATGAAGAATTTATACTATAATTTGGCAAATGTGGTGATGAATATTATAATTTAGATATATGTCATCCTCTTTCTATCTTATAGGCATTTGCTTTATGTATCACTTAATTTGAAATTAAATTAAAATGAATTATCATATTTATATAAATCTCTTAATTTATTAATTATCATATATATTTTTAAAATAAAATGAATCAATAACCTTTTACTATTTAGAATTCTATTCAATATCTTCAATAATATTAAGGTTTATTGAATTACACTTAAATAAAACTAACAGATGAAAATAATAATAGATATAAATATCCTGTAAAATAATATTTAATAATATATTCTAAAGGTTATAACATTAAATTGTGATCATACTAGATTTGCATTAAACTTAGAAACAGTTCTATAATCAATTAATTAACAAGGATACTTTACATGTTTATGTAAAAACATCACAATTAATCATCCTCGTTAATTATAAAAGGATATAAGATGGAATTCAAATGAAGAAATTAATGAAATTTTTGAATTTGGAGTTGTAATTCATAATTACTTATTCCATCAATTTTTAAGGGCTAAGAAATTTAATTAAGTACTTTAATAAAATTTTGTTCTTTAACAGATAAAAATACTAATGGACTCATAAAATTCTATTAATATTTCATAAATATTGTAAAGTATTAGTAAAAATAATCAAAATCAAATTATTTTTAAAGTGATTTGCTTATTAGATTTTGTTTAAATTAATTTTCCTGTAAGATTCATATAGTGTTAACATCCAGAATGTTATGATTTAGCCAGTATATTAATATATTAATAGGAGAATAGTAATAATAATAGTTAAATTGATTAATTAAAATAATTCAAATGTAAATAAAGATAATGTAAAGTTAAAGTAGATATTTCAACTTAAGAAAAAATATTTCAAAATATCTACTTAGATAAAGAATTATTGAAATTGATAAAAAAGGAGCTACCAACTATTTATAAATATATCTATAATCCAATTACTCTAAAAATTTAATAAGATTGCTTTATATAAGATGATGTGATTATAGATCCATAAATTTATCAAATATACAAATAAGAATTTAAATAATAATTTTCCGCTTTAGACAAAGACTATTAAGATTATCAAAAATAAGTTATTAAAATTACTTAAACTGTTTTACAAAGGACTCCAGATGTTAAAATAGAATAAAATCTAAGACTTCATAGATATAAGTTATTTTAAGTTGAAGAAATGGATTAGAATATAGAATAACCTGCTAGATGTGTTAATTGCCCTATATCTAACGTAATGAATTTAAAATCAATAATTTCTAATTTTTATTCATAAAAAAGAAAATATAAATAGGATATTAGATATATTGAGTGCGTTTTATGTGAGACATTATATAGTTTTAATGTAAATATCTCAAAAATTGTTTATTTTGATACAAACTTGTTTGATGCTTAAGAATAGGGACTTTTAGAAAATGTTGATAAAAAAAAAAAAAGATATAATGGAAAAAAATTTATGAAAGAAGAGTTTATGTCAAAATAAAAACTTGATTTATCAGATTTTAAGTAATATCTTTAATAAAAATTGTAATGTTAATAATTCACTTTTTTTAATTTATATTGTAATTATAACAGTAGAAACCTTATTAAACTGCCATTAATTCTTAAGAATTGCCCAGATTAGAGAATTATTGAATTTGAAAGCTTTTATAATAGAATTGAATAAATCTAGATAAATGATTACGAATAAAAATGTCTTTAATTTTGTAATTGTTAATATTGCTCAAATAATCGTTTTTCTTTTAAAGAATTTCCTTTTAATGTTTATTTTCATGAAGCATTTTATAAAGCTTTGATTGATTTTGATGCTTAAAATAGAAATCAAAATATATTAACATATGATTTTGAATTTAATTGTATTATTGAAAAATAAAATAATTTGTAAATACAATAAAAAAGCATTCCAATTGATAAATAATATTTTAAATAACATGGTTTTGTGCCTCTTTTAGGTGATGAATAGTATTAAGATCTCTTTTAGATAAAGAATATATGTGAAAATATTTAGAGGTAAGTTGTTAAAAATGAAATTGATACTGTATTAGCAACTTTAACTAATACTCAAGAAGGGTATGAAGGGAGTACAAAGAAAGAAATGATAAATTAAAAAATGAAAAATAATATAATAGCAAATAAATGGGGTTTTGAGATTATTAAAACTGAAACTTAATTCTTAAACAACGAATTGAAAATACTAAAAGGAAAGGTTTCTTCAGAATAAAATTGATTTATCTATATTGTTTATAAAATATTATAATTTTAACCAATCTTATAATAGATTAATATGAAATTTAATTAATTTAGATTAAAACTAAAACTTTTAAGTGAATTAAAATTTAAATTATGTGGCATATTGCAAATTAATATAATTTTATATTAGTCATTTTTAATATATAAATGATAAATCACTTTATTTAAATCATGAGGATGGTGCTTCTTGATTAATAACAACAGTAGTACTCTAATCTGGATTTTTATTCTATATTTAAGGTTAATCACTATTAAGTTTTTCCTAATTTATTATTTTTCTTTACATATTAATCAGATTTCTCATCTTTTTTCTTTTGTAATTATTTATATCCAAAACATGCTCCTAAAATCATTAATAATATGCCAATTCCACTAAGATAATAGATATATAATGGTTATGTTGAATATTACAATTTGCATCCTGCTGGTGATTTCAATTAAAATCTTTTATTAAATTAAATTATACGCAGTATGACAATTATCTTCTGAAAGCAATGCAAAATTTTAATCAGCTTCTGGACTGCATAGAATGTTGAAATTTACACTCTTTTTTTAATTGTTTTCACATTATGACCCTTATGAATAAGTAATCTATAATCCGTTTTCAATCAAAGAAATTTATTAATTCTCAGGTTTACCTAATATTTCACAAGAATCAGTTAATATTCCCATTACTTCTAATGCCTAATATGCTCCACTTTAACCTTAACAATGTTTAGGGTGATTTCCACAAAAATTAAACTCTAATTCAATTAATAATTATACAATAAGCCATTTTGAAAAAACTTGAATCAGCAGATGCTTTCACTATGTATGGTTCAGTTCTTTAAAGCTTTGTTAAATTGTAATAATGATCTTCTTATTTGAATTCACAACCAAGAATTGTTGTAAGTTATAACACTAATATTAAAGAAATCATAAAAATTAATAAAAAAATTATTATTAAAAGAGATTAATAAAAACTAATATTGTGATTTATTATATTGTTAAAAAGTGGTAAAATTATAAGCTTATTTATTCTTAGCTCTTTCATTTTAGTATATTTGACTTAGGATTAAGATTAGTTATTAATATTTAATCTTATAAAGGTATTTCTAAAAATAATTGTTTAAATAGAGAAAAGTTTAATTTTTTTTGGATGTAGAAATATAAATTTGTTAGGAATATTATAACTTCTTAATTAGCTATAATTATAAAGATAATAATATATATTAAGAACTTTTAAAATTAGCAAATTCTTTAAAATAGAATAAATAAATAAAACTAAAGTATTTAATTTTTTAAAGATTATAATACATATACAAACTTCTTTTTTGTTTAAGAATATAATTTTCATTTTGTTTTCTAAATCAATAAGATTGATAAGATTTAAATTAATCCATATTCAAATTGTATTAAACTTTTATTTTAATAGTTTTTTCTTAGTTTTTAAAATTAATCACATTATTTTTTAATTTTTAGCTTCATAATTATAGTCAAGAGATAAGTTTATAATTTATATTAATTGATCAATAAGAACAGTAAGAATTGTTGGGTAAGTTAGTCTTATAATAATTAATTAAACTATCTGATATGGATTAAAAAAAAAAAAGATTTATTTAAAGAGAAATCAATAGATAATTTAAATTTAATTTACAATTTATATATATAACTCGAGTAAATATCATATAGAAAATTTTCATCATCATATTGAACTATCAGATTTAACCGACTTTTTGTATGATAATCTAAAGAATTTAATAAGAATTATACGATCGATTATTTGTTTTATCACTAATTTTTCTTGAATACTTTCTACTACCTTCTGATAATTATGACTAAAACATAGTTGATTATTATTATTATTATTAAACGAATTATGTAGATTATTATAGTAAGATTTAAGATTTCTTGGCAGAAGGTCTAAGACTCTCTTTAAAATAGTTATGTTATAAACACTCTTTTGCACTTATTCTTTTGTTCTTATCATAAAATAACATGCTAGATAATAAATCAAAGCATGATTCAGGTATATTATATTCAATGAAATGCTCCATTGATAGCATATTTTCTTAATAGCAGTATTACAAATTATCTAATTATGATTACTAGAATAAATCTTGTGATGTAATTCTAATATGATTATGAATATAATTTACAGTTTATAGAATACAACTCCAAGACTGAATATATCACTTTTGGTGTTGTATTAAGATTTTTTAGAATTAATAATTTCAGGTGCAATGTATCCAGGAGTTCCACATTTTTAAATGCATAACGGACTACCTTGTTTTGTTGCCAAGCCAAAATCAATTATCTTAATATTCAAGTTTTTATCTATCATTATATTATCTGGTTTAATGTCTCTATGTAATAAACCTTATTCATGGATATAAACAATTGCTAACAAAATTTCCTAAAAAGAAATCTAATATATATTATTACTCTCATAATTGATTAAATTTCAGTTTAATGTAATTAAGTTCCATGTTCATTTATGAATCTTTCTAAAGTTTAACCATCTACATATTCATGTATGATGACTATTTAATTAGATTTATCATATATTTCTTTAATTTTGACAATATTTGGGTGATTTAATCGATACAATATTTAGATTTCATTAATTATATCCTATAATTGAAATAATGATCTAATATTACATTCATTCTTTCTGTATTTGATTTCCCTTCTCTAATCTTGTTTAGAAATTTTGCAGCCACTAACTACTTTGTCTACAAATTTTAAACCATTTGTACCTAATTATCATTATATAATTATACTTATGAAAAAGCACCAACTCCTAAGACCTATTGAGGAAGATAAAACTAATTCATATCAAGATAAACTATCTTCGCATCAATTAATTTCTTTAATTCTTGAATTTTATTAGCATTGGCTCTAAAGAGTTTTTATTGCCCTTAGTATGGGATTGAAAAACCATAAAAATCATCATCAATATGAAAGGTTATTGTAGATCTAAGTGATACTTCTAGTTGGTATTTAGGTTTTGCTTTAGTCTGGTGATATAGTTTTAATACATACTTCCCCAATAAAAATACTTGAACCATCATAGGTTAATAAGTATTATTTATCAAATATTAGATGTTTTCTAATACATTAGAATTGAAAGATCATTCCTTTTCAAATAAAAGTGCAATATAATCTTTCTATTATTATTAATAATTATCACTAACTAGCGTTTTTTCATCTGCAATTTTAAAATCTGTTGGGATTTATAAAGTATTTTTTTTTTACTTGTTGTGTCGTTTGTATTTGTTAAGTTGTTGAATTAAATTTGATTTATAAATATGTATTTATCAATTATTTTCATATTATCTTAAATTTTCAATTATTTATTAAACTTAATAAAAAGGATAAACAAAAAAAGAAATATATATTGCCAATCTATGTTAAAAAATAATCAATTAATTTAAATATTTAATGCAAATAAACTCAGAATTGTTAACAGAGAGACCTTTAATTCCTTAAATTAAGAAATCTGATTCCCTTAGAAGCCAAAGTTAATTTAAGTCTTGTCCAGCATATTTTAAAACATTATAACTTCAAAAAATATAAAACATTAAGTAAAATTAAGGAATAGATCAATCATCTAAGGTCAATCCATTAAATGTATTTGTAAAAATCATCAGATTCATTACAATTATTACTTAATCAATATTTCCATAGGATTTTAAATATTTAGATGCTAATATGTTTCGTATTATTAATGACAAAGCTTCAGATTTTAAGTTTTATGTAAAGAATGATTACTTTAAATATATAGTAATACTTATTTAATCTTAGAAAGCAGCCCCAGATTCAAGGTTATAACATTGGATATAAAAAACACTATTCTAGCAATATAGTTTATAAAACTTAATCGATTATTTGTCTAATAGTAGATTTTTATTCAAACCAGAATAAAAGTTAATTTTAATCTGGAATATATATTTACTATTTATGACAAATTTCAATTTTTTATACTGCACAATAAAATTTGCATTTGATTTTGAAAATTATAGACCTGATAATTATAAGGAAGGTGAAGTTTTCTTTTTGATTATTCCTTTTTTTAGTTATTTGATAGATATATTAGTTAAATTAAATATTTGTTATTATGAAGCGGGATATTTAGTTACAGATAGGAATAAAATTATAAAACATTTTTATCTTTCTAAAGATACATTTATAGATATATTCTTAATAATAATATCTTTAGCATATTTCTTTGATAAGAAGAGCAATAATATTTTATAATTATTTATGGTAATCAAAATATTTGATGTTCCAAAGAGAGTTGGATTAATATTGGATAAATTGGAATTAACAACAAATCATTGGGCAATTTATGATTTAATTAGATTATTGTACTTAATTGTATTAGAAGCACATATCTTTTGTTGTTTTTTATATTTTATTGGGAAATAAAATAAAACTATTTCATGGATAATTTAAGAGAATCTTGAAAATGCTGATCTTATTACTAGTTATGTATATATATTACAATTATATTAAGATTACATCATTTTACTGGAGTGTTATTACTATGACAACCATAGGCTATGGAGATTTTGCTCCATCAAATTTGAATGAAAGAGTCTTAGTAATCTTTGTAGCAATTACATCATGTTGTACATTTGGGTATTTTGTATCATCTGTTGGATAAATCATAAATTCTATATAGAAAAAAGAATAGAAGATAAGATTAGATTTGAATGATTTAAAAAAATATTTAAGAATTAGAGGATTTAATTAATAATTATAAATTAAAGTAAGAAGATATTTTGAATATTTATGGAATGATTGTATGCGTTAAGATTAAATTGATATGATGAAATTACAATAATAATTGCCAAGTAATTTATTTAATGTAAATATGATTATTAATTTATTAGGAGATGATTTTAGATTTAAATATGAAAAGTATATCAAAGATTCCATTCTTTAATGAAAATTTTAGTTCAGATTTTCTTTAATCATTGGCTGGGGATTTTGAAGAGGAACGTTTAACTCCTTGGTAAAGTATATTTACTAAAGGTGAGTAAAGTCGATATTTATATATTTTATGTGAAGGAGAAGTTGAATATTATGTTTAATTGCCTGAAGGATCATCAAATTCAATTTCTATATAGAAAATTGATGGTTAAGATGAAATATTTGGATAATAAGATTTCTTGCTTGATTAACATCATTCAATTAATTGTCGAACAACTAAGTTAACTAGAATATTAAAGATTAGTAGAGAGAATTTCTAATAAATTGCCAAAAAATATGGATATGTAATATATATTGTATATATTAGGAAAAATATTGTTAATTGAAAGATTTGGTAAAATTTTCAGGAAGATTTGATGAATTTCATATATAATGTATTGGATGCAGCAAATCTACACATTTATTATATAATTGTCCTATGTTAAGTGGTTTTCCAAGTAAGACGAAAACATTAATAAAGTATAAAAAAAGATTTTGTTAAGAAAGAAGATTTATATAAAGAAATAATAATTATAAACGTATATCAACATTAAGTTTTGAAAATAAAATTGCTGATAGTGTATTATACTATCTATTAAGAGATCCTAAAATGTATGAACAATTAAGTAATTAAATTAATCGAACAACTCCAATAAATTAAAATGGAATTAGATTGAAATCTAAAAAAAAATTATCAATTTAACCTAAAAGAGGAGTACCTGTATTTTTAAGTTAAGAATTTTCTAGATCACTTGAGGCTAATTACGAAAAAAGCTTAGGTACATAATTTAGTAAAGAATAATAAAATTTATTAAAGAAAATAACTTAACATGATTAAGAATTATCAAAAGATGATAGTTTCAAAATATCTAAAGGATTAAATAAATAATTTATAACTAAAAGTACTTAAAGTATGACTATGTTGAAAAGTTAAGATGCAATAGAAGAGGATGAATAAGAAACAGAAACCCTTGAAATTAATCCTATTTGGATTGAACAATAAAGTAAATTTATGTTTAATAACAAAAGATCAAAATGAAAATATGGGAAGATACAAGGACATTTTTGAATGTTTTGATTAATAAAGAGATTATGATTAATACATGCCTCATATGAATTTTAGAGAAATACAAAATCATCTTTAAAGTAATAATGATTAAGATAGTTTTCATAATTTCATAGATGCAAATATTGTAAGGAGAAAATGGAAAAAATCAAAAATTGTTATAGTCTTAGAATCTTGAAATTATATTTATATATTTATAAATATCATATTAATAGAAAGGATTTAATGCAATAAGATATCCAAAATAAATTAACATATATTTTAAAAGCTGAAATAAATTAACAGATGATAATGTTATTAAATGATTTAGAATTCTTATACAAAATTTAAGATCTTAAAATATAAAAATGAAGATGATAAGGAGTAATTAGTAATNGATTAACATCATTCAATTAATTGTCGAACAACTAAGTTAACTAGAATATTAAAGATTAGTAGAGAGAATTTCTAATAAATTGCCAAAAAATATGGATATGTAATATATATTGTATATATTAGGAAAAATATTGTTAATTGAAAGATTTGGTAAAATTTTCAGGAAGATTTGATGAATTTCATATATAATGTATTGGATGCAGCAAATCTACACATTTATTATATAATTGTCCTATGTTAAGTGGTTTTCCAAGTAAGACGAAAACATTAATAAAGTATAAAAAAAGATTTTGTTAAGAAAGAAGATTTATATAAAGAAATAATAATTATAAACGTATATCAACATTAAGTTTTGAAAATAAAATTGCTGATAGTGTATTATACTATCTATTAAGAGATCCTAAAATGTATGAACAATTAAGTAATTAAATTAATCGAACAACTCCAATAAATTAAAATGGAATTAGATTGAAATCTAAAAAAAAATTATCAATTTAACCTAAAAGAGGAGTACCTGTATTTTTAAGTTAAGAATTTTCTAGATCACTTGAGGCTAATTACGAAAAAAGCTTAGGTACATAATTTAGTAAAGAATAATAAAATTTATTAAAGAAAATAACTTAACATGATTAAGAATTATCAAAAGATGATAGTTTCAAAATATCTAAAGGATTAAATAAATAATTTATAACTAAAAGTACTTAAAGTATGACTATGTTGAAAAGTTAAGATGCAATAGAAGAGGATGAATAAGAAACAGAAACCCTTGAAATTAATCCTATTTGGATTGAACAATAAAGTAAATTTATGTTTAATAACAAAAGATCAAAATGAAAATATGGGAAGATACAAGGACATTTTTGAATGTTTTGATTAATAAAGAGATTATGATTAATACATGCCTCATATGAATTTTAGAGAAATACAAAATCATCTTTAAAGTAATAATGATTAAGATAGTTTTCATAATTTCATAGATGCAAATATTGTAAGGAGAAAATGGAAAAAATCAAAAATTGTTATAGTCTTAGAATCTTGAAATTATATTTATATATTTATAAATATCATATTAATAGAAAGGATTTAATGCAATAAGATATCCAAAATAAATTAACATATATTTTAAAAGCTGAAATAAATTAACAGATGATAATGTTATTAAATGATTTAGAATTCTTATACAAAATTTAAGATCTTAAAATATAAAAATGAAGATGATAAGGAGTAATTAGTAATAATAAGAATAATATTTATAGTGATCAATTAGATATACATATATAATATTATTAACTTATTAATTTTAATCCTAGCAATACAATATGCAATAATTAGAATATGATTCCATTTTATAGTGCTATCGAATAAGATTTTCTAAATTTATTTGCTTATTAATTGATTAATTAACTTTTAATTTATATATAAAATGGGTAATGGTGCATGTCACTAATAAGTTCCTTCTATAGATGAAGTAAATTTAGTAGCTAGAAACTTTAAATAAAAATTTGAGCCTTGCAATAGTTAATGTATATTACCACTCTTGAATTCATAATCTTAAAGTCCATCTAAACCTAGTATCGAATCAAAGAATCCAACCATTGCTAGATTAGATGAAGAAGAATTTGAAATATTGATGACTAATGAAGACAAGTATGATCAAGATTTATCGCCTGTCAGATAAAGTAAATTGTCTAGAGCTTAGTCTCCCACTAAACTTATCAAATCTAAACATCATTACAAGTAAGAAGAGATTTTCTTTTTGGAATTACTTAAACAAGATAAAACTAATATCACTAGAAGAAAATCAGCAGATAGATAACTAAGTCCTGTAAAGGTCATACATTCAAATCATTAGAAGAAACATAACACAGCATTATTAATTCATAGTCCTGATTAGAGATCAAATTAACTTATCAAAATTAATAGATTATCTTGCTAACTTGATGAAGCTGTCATTTTATCTCTAGAACCTAAATCAATTTTGAAATCTATTGGATCTGAAAAATCCTTATCAAATTCATAAAAGAGTAAAACAAATAGTCAAAAGAAAGTAAGATTTGGAATGGTTTATCGATAGTATAAATGAACATCATAAAAAAAACTCAAAACTACTATTATTTTGAAATCTAATATTCATTATATAATTAACTTATTTAATACTATTTACATCAATATTTATCAAGATACTTTCAAATCATTTATTCAAAATATAAAATATAAATTTATTTAATTTCTTACAAATTTACATAACATTACAATAAACAATATTGTTTAATTTCCAAAATATCAAGTAGACATAGGTATTGTTACATATTTTCATTAATGAATTTTTTATATACATTATAATTATTTAGCAATATTAGTTTATTTATCATAAGATTATATTACTAATATAGGTATATTTAGTAATAAAAATTGAAGAAATAATTTATTTAATTAGATGAAATAAATAAATAAATTATAGATTGAAAATATTTATTAATAATCGTTATATTTTTAAATATGAATCAATTCTAGGATGTATTCAATGAGTTCTCATAATTACACAATCAGAAATACAATTTAGGAGAAATATTATCATTTTTAGATTCCAAATGTGCAAATGGTTATTTTGATAGAGATGTATATTAATAATTGATTGATTAAATTCCATAAGCATAATCATAATAATAATGCACTATTAATCAGTTAATTAATGTATTTAAAAAGGCATAGGATGTATTAAATGATAAAATTAGCAAATGTTAATAAATTATAGATTAGAAAAATATGTAATTACATATTTGAATTATTATTAGTGAAATTAGAGCCTATAATGATAAAATTAAGTAATAGTAAACAAATAGTGTCAATTCATCAAGTAAATTGAATGTGGAAATTCTTGAAGCTGAAATATTATATTAAAGCAATGGATAATTATAAATCAGTTTAGAATGTATGTCATCTGTTGTTTATACATGTAAATTAATAATTGAAATTTATAGAATTGGCCAAAAGACTAAATCCAGTTTGGAATGAAACATTTGATTTGTATTTACTTAACTTTATGATTTAGTAATGTTAATGAGTAAGCAGTAATGAAATTTATATTATTGGATACAGAATTACAATAAAAAAGGGGGATTGGTGGTGTTGCTTATATTGATATTAATACTTTTGGAGATTAAATGCTTCATGACTTTACAGTGAATTTGACTGATGAAAGTAATTCAATTGTTAGAGCTAAATTACATCTTAAAATATAGTGGATTTATTCAAAAGTAATTATTATATTAATTGTAGAATAAATATTTATAAGATTTAGTTAATGAAAATATGATATAGATCAACTAATTGGAATAAGAAATTAATGATCACATTGTTGATTTGGATATTATAAATTCTCCATTTAAATAAGCAATTAAATTTTAAAATAATCTAACTATATCTACATATTAAACACAACAAAACTAATAATAATAATAATAATAATAATAAGGGAATATATTATTAATTAGTGAAAGTTAAATAGATAGACTAGTTTAAATATCACTATTATTAATTATTCTTTATTTAGTTTTTGGATTATTAAATACTATGTATCGAACATTAAATTTTGATGTAAAAAATAGTGTAATCTATATTAGTTTTTAGTTATATTCTATTGCTTTTTGTTTTATCAGAAAAATTATAAACTTCAATCTTTGCTTCACATTAAAATCATTATGGTTATGTTAGGTGTTGCTTTATTGATGGATATAATTTGGCTTGCAATTTATAGTACTGTAAATATTACATTAAATAAATAGCCATATTTAGGAGAGTTTAATGCATCTTATGATCATTTAGAATATGGATTATAGAAATATCAAATAATATTAAGTTGGTTATTATTATTTGTGAAAGTAAATATAATTTCAAAATAGATCGTTGTTTTAATGTTTTATGTTCACATTTATGCCACTTACCCTGATAAATCTACATAAGTTTATGATTAATAATGGAATGCTATTTTTGGATGGAAAGATATTAAATAAATCAATATCTACAGAAATTATAATTGATTATTATAATAAATTTTCTATTTTATTTTATCACTTAACAAATATTTCTAAAAGTTATGATAAATATCTAACCAACTAATTATATATATATATATAATATAGTATTTAAATAACAAGATTTTAGTATAAATTAAATTAACTGCATTTAAATTTTAATTAAATTTTATTTCCTATTTAATGAATATCTCATATTCTAATGATCCTAAATTTCATTACTAATAATCTATATTGAATCCTTACATTAACTAATCAATTAATAAGTAGGGAATAGCTAACTCTCAAATACTATAAGGAAGCCCTGGTAAAATTAACAATTAAATATTTATTTTAGTTCACTTACCTAATTACTCTACATAAGGTAGAAATCAGTCTAATTCAATATTTTCAACACCTTCTGCTCCAAAAGCCCAATTACCATTTATTCAATAATCTATTCCTTAATCAATAATAAAACCAATAGTTAGATCCCCTTCTCCTATAAATTAACAAAAATTTCATTAGACATAACCAATATAATCTAGAAATATATAATATTATGAATCACCTTAAGTTCAAAAAGCACCTTAAGTTAAAATTGGTATATTTGTATAACAAAAATTTTAGTTCATGAAATAGAGTAAGTACCTATAATACATGAATTACATCATGTAAATAGACCCATAAATGTAATTTCTATGGATGAAATTGAAGTGCCTTGGAGAAGTAAGCAGATTCTTTTGGAGAAACAATTAATTGAATTATAGTTGATGTTAAGACGTAATCCTTAAGAAAGGAGTGAAAGAAAGAAAATAATAGTGGAAGATGAAGCTAGAATTAAAGAGCTTGAATAAGAAATAGCAAAATTGAGACTCATTGTATAAGAGAATGAATAGAACATTTAAAATTATTATGGTTAGGTCGAATAAGCATAATAAAATATAGAGAATGCTGAAGAATAAGCAAGTGAATAAATAGAAGAATAAAATAGAGAATTAGCTAAATGGAAGAAAAAATTCCAAGACCTTAATAAAAAGTATCATGATTTAGAAGAAGAAATAACAATGACAGAAGCTCAGATAGAAAGTATTTAAAAAAGAAAAATGACTACATAAAAAATTACATCTAATAAAATAACATCTAATTCAAGAGTAAGAGATAGTGGATTAATAGGTAGTAGTGTTAAAAAGAATTATTGATTGATCATTATTTTATATTAATTTTGAATTATGTAAATAACAATTACTTTATATAAATTACTTAAACCATAATGTTACACATATTTGTGTTGTTTAATATCATTTCATTTTTGGATGCACAAACATGCTCCACAACATAGATTACATGTGAATCTATTACAGATAGCACTTTATGTTATGAAACAAAAGATTCCAATATTAATCAAATTTGTGAATGGAATACAAATAAATGTGAAAAAGCAATACTTAACAATCTGCCATGTTCAAAATATACAAATGAGTATACTTGTTTTTACAGATCATATGGTTGTAGATGGGATGGAACTAATTCAACAGGTTATGATACTGAAGAGATGAAAAACAATGTAAATGGAAAATGTGTAGATTAAAAGTATTTAGAATTATAAATATATAATTTAGATGCCAAGATTTCACATCTGAACATGATTGTTCATCCTTTGGTCAAATATCATGTGATTGGTAGGATGATAGTTGTGTTTAAGTTACAAAATGTCAAGATTTCTAAACTGTAAAAGGTTGTAGAAATACCAAATTTAAGGAAAAGTTATTTAATTATATTATTATTAGATGTGTACCTATTGTAAATGGAGAAGTATTATCACTTGGATAAAAATCAACTACCATATTTGATTCTTTTGAATGTGTAGTTTAATAATGTAAACATAAATCAAATGAATATGAATGTACATTTGTTAATGGAGTCTAATGTATTTGGGGAACTACGTATTAAATTAATTTTATTTAAGAGGATGTGCTGTTTGTGCTTCATTTAATACATATGAAGCATGTGTATAAAATAAAGGATTATGTTTATGGAATTAAAATCAATGTTAAAATATTGAGTAATTCAAATCTATATTTATACTAGATGTTAACAATACAAAAGTCCTAATTTATGTAAATTAAAAACAGAATAATGTGAATGGAATAGATTAAAAATGAGATGCCAACTTAATTCTACCTAAGCAAATCAACATTGCTATTCAGAATACTTAGATTAATAAAACTAAGGATTGGTAATCTAAATAATTTTAATTATTTCCTTTATTTTTATTGGATGATTTTTAACATTATATTATTTTATTTCATTATTAATATTTATATATTAAATTAATAATCATAAATTAATTTAATATAATAATCAATTCAGTGGCTCTTCATAGTTTTATCAAGGAATTTTTTTTCACCATTTATTTATTGGTGTATCTATAATTATTTATGCTTATTGATTATTTTTTAAACTGTTTTAGACTTATTATTCAATTTTTATCAGATTTATATTGAAAAAATTACTGAAATTTTTTAGGACATCCTTTTACTTTACAAAAGAATTGTTAAATTAGATGGTTTTGAGGTATTAATATATTAATATATAATTGGGTTAAATTTAAATATTATAATTCATTTAATCTCAAAATTCGAATAAAGTAACATTTCTTAAGCGGCCTGCTTAACTTTTTCTATATTAGAATAAGACCAAGGTAATCTTTTAACATCGAATTCAAACTATAAATTATATAAATAATAAAAGTTACCCTTTTATCATCTTAAATATGATTCATAATTTTATTGCAAAGAGATGCTATTTTCTTTTTTGAATCCTTTTGTATTTCTTATTCTAAGCAGCCTAAAATATATAAAAATTATACTTAGGAATTCTTTATAGTAAGTAACAAAAGTTTTTGAGGAGAAAATTTATTTTAAAAAATCAGAATTCATTGTTTTATTTTTGCTATTCTTTCTAAATGGAAGCATAATAGTGGTTTAGGTTTCTTTTTCTGCCATTGATATGAATATTTTCTATGCTGATTTCAAATTAGTCTCTAATTATATGATCATATAAATACTTGTTTTATCATATTTTTCTTAAATCCTTTGGAATATAAATTTCAATGCTTTTCTTAAGCAAAACTTAACAAGTTCTTCTCTACTTTTCTATTAGCATTTTTATTTCTGGGCTAACATTTCTAACAATTTAACTAAAGCAATCTAATTGCTATTTTTTAGCTATGTTAGTATATTCTAGAAAGTTTCGTCTTCATTAACAATCATCATAATATATCGTTCGAGAGTTTAATTTGTGACTTATGGTATCACATCTTAATATTCTACAATCGATCTTCTAGTGCCTTAAGTAGAAATAGGGTCTTCATAAGAATGTACTAAATATAATTTAGAGGAGAGTATTACATTATTCAAAATTTTATTGAAGTTTCTATGAATATTATGGGAATGGTTAAGAGTAAGCCATCTATTAGTAAGCATATAAATTATTGTAATAGGAGTTTTGTAGATTCTAATATGCATTCCAGTAATTGATTGAGGAATAAGAATCAAAGATGAGTTAGTTGGGTAAAAATTAGTGCATGGTTTGCAAATAATTACAAATTTTATAATTAGAGATCAAAAAAGATTTGCAATTTTAAAGTCATTTATATGTATTAATATGTATAATTAAATTTATCCAAGTTTAATTGGCTTCTTTGAATTCAATTACACGGCAGGGATGTATAAAATGGTGACCATTTTAAAGAAACATGCTGAAATCCAATAAAATTACAGAATATTCTTAAATATATTTGATTAAAATTACTGATTTTTTAAGAGTTCATTTGAACTTTATTAATTATAATTTCATAAAATATATAGTTTTTAAGAGTAGGGAAACAATAAGTGTTCTTGCTAAAATTACTCATTTTCAATTGATTAACAAACATATATCCTATATACACATATTTAAATATTGTCAAAGAAAAATAGAAAATTCGATTTTATATTGTTTAAGTGTTTTTGTTTGATTTATAATGGATATTCCAAACTTCAATAGATTTATAAATAGTATACCTATGAATATAAAGAATTGGATTTCTAAATAATCATATTTTTTTGATACCTTTTTGTTTTTGACTAACTACCTGATTATCGATAATATGAATAGTTTAAGTTCTCTTTCTTTTTAATAGATAAAATGAAAGATTACCTTCCCCTCATCATTCCTTCTCTATATTATCAACTATCAATATAAATATATTTACTATTGTAAGGGAAGATTGATTTTTTATTATGATAGTTGTAATAATTTCTATACTATATGGTATTTAAGGAAAAACAAGACAAAGATAAGAATTGTAATTGATATAATTCAATTTAGTAATTGAAAAACATGAATGTTATATAAAAATGAAAATGGTTGTTAAATTATATGATTTTCATTTTGATAACAGAATTGTAGCACCTTTTGCTTTTATTGAATTTATCATTTCAATTCTTTCAAATTAATACACATTATTATTATGACCTAATCCTAAATTTCCATGTTCATTCCATCCACTAACAAATATTTCTTATTTTTCTTAATTTAATAAAATTGTTGATTCTGATCCACATTTAACTTTTGTCACCTTTAAATCAATCAATTAATAATTATAATTATGTTATTTTTTATTATCTCCTTATTATCCTAGATCTCCTCTTCCACAAATATAAACTTATCCATTTTTTGTCAGAATAACATGGTGACTCCAACCACAATCAAAATCTTAAATATCTTTCATTAATTCCTTTTACTCTAATATTTAAAATTGAGATTCTTATGATAATTATCCAAAACTATTACTTCCCCATCCATATAGGGAATTATCATCTTAATATGAATCAATATTCTACTTAATAATGCCAATGTAAATTTTTATCCGCATTTTATATTCTTTATACTCCCTTGAATATTGATCTTTGTAAATTACTCAACAATTTTTATATTCAAAATATTTAATTCATTCTACTTATTTTATCCTACTCCATATATTAATTCATCTTGAATTATAAAACTTTATCTAAAACCACATGTTATGTTGTTAATTTTAGTATGATCAAATACTATCTATTAGGGTTCTTCATATATTTATTTTAACTCTAATCCCAACTCATTAAATTTATTTGATCCAATACCAAAAAGTCCTTTGTCAGTAAGGATCAAACAATGTTACCAACCACAAGAAAATTTAGAAACACTCTATATTTATTTAATCTCTTTTGGTATTGTATATAATGATATCCATTATCCATATATGAATATTTTATCATTTTCTTTAATTAATCCTATCAATCCACTAAATTTGATTTTTAGATCATTCTAATTCTTATTGATTAATTATTAACATTTTTTAGGTATATTTAAATCTTCAAGAGTTTCTTATAGTAATAATCCACAGCCTCCTGATCCACAAGAGTAATATTATATTTATTATTACATAAAAATAATTAGAATAATCAATTCATCACTTCCAATAGTATAATAATTATAATTTGTATTAAAAACAAAATGTTTCCTATTTATTTGAATTTTCTGTCCTCTATATCTCCTTGATACACTTATTTCCTTTTATTCTCAGGAGTGTAATATATCTCTTTCTCTTGATATATAGCCTTTTTTGGAGTATAAAATAGAACTTACTAAGTTTCCTTTTCATATTCCTCTTGTTACTTATAAGGTATTATTTCTTTTTAAGTTTACCTATAGTCTGTTTCTGGCGAAGAAAATTATGAATTAAGCTTTTAATCTTGAGTATCCTACCTTTTGAGCAAATAGTGATTTTCTGAAATTTGCATTTGTCTTTAAAATTAAATAATCAAGCGGCAATGCTCTAATTATTTGCTTAAATAATAATTATTCTATATTAAAATATAATTTATTATAATTTTTAAATATTTTATATTTAATGTTTCATTTCTCAATCCCTTTTATTTTATCAATAATTATATTAGATGTCGTTTTTATACTCTAAATTAAATACTTATTTTTATCATCATTCAGAATACTATTTATATAGATATTAATCATCAATTCAATGTTTCAAGTATATTGAATATAGTATTTATAATAAAACATAAAATTCTTTATTTGATTTAAATTAAAAATAATAAATATTTTTTTAAAAGAAATGCAAAGTAGAATGGCCAAGAGACTACAAAAAGATTTAGAGTAGATGCAAAAGTCTTACACTGATCAATTTAATGTGAGAATGCCAAATAATGATATTAAACATTGGATTGTAGCATTTGAAGGTGCAAAAGGAACATTATATTAAGGAGAGAAATTCGAGTAATATATTTAAATAAATTAGATTGCAATTCAAGTTTTCAAATGAATATGTAGATATACTTATACTTAATTAGCTCTTTTTCTTTGAAATTAGCCAATCGAATCTCCTGAAGTAATATTATTCTTATAATTTAGGTAATCTTTATTGGCAAACCACCTGAGCATGAACATATATATTCCAATGGATTTATTTGCTTATCAATTTTATTTGATGGTAATTCTTATGAATAATAATTTTTAGAATGGTCAGCAGCACTTACTGTGAGTTCTATTTGCTTGTCTATACAATCTATGTTATCTAGTGCTACAAAAAAGGTCTCTTATTATATAATTTCTAAGATGAAACCCCCTAATGATGCAGAATTTGTTAAAAGAGCAGCTGGAAGAGGTCCTAAAAGCTTTCTATGGAGTTATCATGATGAAAAATGTTGAAGGCTCTTTAAAAAATATATAAATTAAAAATAGCATCATTTAAATATATAACAATGATTCATTTTATGATCTAATTAATTTTAAGTTTTTAATTATTTTAGTAATCTAATTAGAATACATAAATATCTATATTTATATAATTTATAATAATTTTGTTTATAATTTTGTTAACTTTAATTTTTCTATTTACACCTTATTTACTTAACAAATGAATAATAAGAAATAATCAAGACTCATATAATTCTAAATCTAAAGAAATGAAAAGTTAGAATTCTTAATATTTGATTTATACAAAAACAATCTAATGATTCTTTATTAATTCAATTTTTTTGATCAAGTCTAACTAAAAATTTATTTAATTTATCAAGTAAAATCAATAATTAGATTGATAAGAATCAATGATTAATTTTAGACGCCAACTACATTTGATTGTATATTTGTATTTAATTTGTTTATTCTGCTTAATTATAATTTTTAATTAAATATCAAATTTAATATATTAAATAATGAGCATAATTTGTAAATTTTTACTTGATATTTTTATATACTTAATCCAGAACACCTCAAATAGAGTTTAAGCCAACTTTCAAGAGAATGAATATATTATTTACATATTCTATATAATATAATTTATTATGTTCAATCTATTAATTCATGTATAATTGTATATGTAATTGTAATTAGAAAGGATATTAAAATGATAGCCAAACTAATTTCATAAATTCTTTCATCTAAATGTATGGGGACAATTTTATTATCTTTTAAATTTTATTTTATTTTTTTTTTTGTTTTCTCTAGTTCTATTATATTTCTCAATTACTATCTTGTTTTGTTAATTTATTATTATGATTGTTAGGATTACTCAGTTAAGTTTCTGATTTTCATCTTTTAGATTGCTTGTGTTATATTTCTATTTTAGTTTACTAATTTATCACTAGAAGGTGATGAGCATAAGGAATTCTATTTTTTCAAGAATTAGTTGAATTAAAAAATATCTATAGAATTTAATTGACTGACTCTCTTTTTACTTGAATAGTTTCTGATTTTAACAAAATGAATCTTGATTACTTATTTTTTTAAGATTTATTCAAGTTTTGAAATAAGCATAAATGAATTTCTAAATGATTTATCTTGATTCTCACAAAATTCCATTAATATAATTTTTATATGTAGAAGATACTATATATATAAATTGTATATATTTAATGATAATCAATTATTGATTTTTTAATTAATATTAATTTATACACTTTACAAGTATTTATATTGAATAGAGATTATGTTGGTAAAGAGATTTCGAGTTCATCTTAACCATGTGATGTAAAATGATAAAGTATACTATTAAATCACAGTTATAAATTTAAATAATGAAAAAGAAACTAAAACAACTACTAATCGATATTCATAATTAAAAGATTTTCATGATCAATTGCATAAAAATATTACTCTCTTAAAACTATAATTATAATTACCATAATTTCCAGGAAGATCTCTTTTTAATAAAACTAATAAAAATGAAGAAAGAATTAAGTAAAGACAATTTGAATTAGAATCTTATTTTAATGAACTTTTTAGCATTGATAAAATACTTAGTTTAACACCAGTTCAATAATATTTACCTATAGAAAATGATCCAAAATAATAGTAAAATATATATAATATTAATAGAATGAATATTAGTATTAAGATTGAAAATTATGTAATTTATGATGACGTAGTTGTATATTCTTTACGTTTCAAGAATAATTCAGCAAATGAAGAATGGTTATATAAATAAAGGTATTCTGAAATTAAAAATATTCATGATGCACTTATTGAACAAGGATTTAAAAACAAGTTGCCATCATTTCCAACACGGAAATTATTTGGATAAACTAATGAAAATCCAGGTAATATTTTATATAATAATAATAAGAAACTATTGAAAAAAGAAGAGAAGACTTAGAAACATATTTGAATACTTTGTTCTCAACTCAAGAAATACAATAAAGTTAAATAATTCAATTTTTTATATCAGATTCCAAAAAATATCACGAAAAGAATTTAAAACTTGAAGAATTAAAAAAATCTTCTACACTTAAAACTAAAGGTGACCTAAACCAAAGAGTCAAAGAGATTTCAAAGAAATCTAACCTTTAAATCTACTAAAATAAATGATTATTAACTTATTATAAATATACTCTAACAAATATATATCTCTATTGTAAATTAATATAAATTTAATTGGATCCATTTCCACACAAAAGATTAATAAAAATAAAATTTACTTTTTTTTATATCATGAAAAGGAGATCTGTTGGATTTATTAACGTTGATGATTCTAAAAACCTTGAGGCTTTTTAAAGTCATACTTAAGAAAACATTAAAGATAAAAAGAAAATGAAACGATTATTGACTGATGATTTCTCTCATTTTGAAAAAAGGAACTTCAAAATTTAAAAAGAACTAAATTTAAATGAATTTAGACCTATAACATTAAATGAAATGGCCAAATAAACAAAACTTTAATTTATTGAATCTAATTCGAATTCATTAATTAGAAGATAAGATTAATAAGTAATTATTGTAAATCATTTTAGACTGTACCTCTTTATAAAAAGTAAAGAGATGATCAAATAACATAACAATAATAATTTAAATCACAAATTAAAAAATAGATATATAAAGAAGATGATGTTAATTAAAATGTTTGCATCATCTTAATAGAAGCCTTCATAGTTATATTTATAATCCTTATTGTTACTCACCTATTTTTACAAAAGTATTTATAATGATAACATATAACATATTTTAATATTATAATCTAGCATCACTGCACAATTATTTCTAATCACTTCTATTAATTCATTGCTTGAAATACATAATTTTTTAAACAATCTAAAAAACTATTTTGAAAAATAAGTGTTTATTTAGAATATTTAAATAACAATTTTTTTATAATTGCATTTTAACATAGAAGTAACTAATTTTTTATATTCTTTAATTTTTATTATAATTAGATTGTAACAGGGGAATATAAAATTATGAGTAATTAAAATAATACTAAAATATGAGTTAATTATTATAAAGTGTAAAAGTATTCTATATAAATAAATATTGAAGGATATATAATCTTACTTAGATATTTCCGAATAATAATTTTAAAAAAAATAAGAATAAAATCCAAAATTTTATAATTTGATTCATTTGGCTATGTAATATTTATTTCTAATTTTATTGATATACAATATATGTATTTGTTAAAAAAACTTATCTGCTTCCATACTATTATAACTTACTATTTATTAATAAATAAATTAATGAAAGCTGATAGTTTTCACTCATTGTTTTCAGATAAGTCTGCTAAATACAATTAATTCATAAGTTCTTAGCTATTTGTTGGGTATAAAGTTCGAGGCAAAGACTAATAAAAAAAACAGTACATAGTCTCAAGTCCATCAGATGATTAAAAAATGTCTAATAACTTTACAGCTTCTTAAAGTTATGTGAATGCAATGAAAGCCTTGTAAGATAAGATCAAATAACTTGAGTTGGAGAATTAAAGTTTATAGAATTTAGTAGTATCAATTACATAATAAATTAGTCATCTAATGATAGCAAGAGTAACCTTAAATCTAATGAGAGAAAACTAAAGGAATCTAGTGTGCATATGAAATCTAGTGAAAACTTATAAATTAAAGAACTTGAGTAAAAATTTATGCAACAGGAATTTATATCTAAAATGAGAATAGAGGATTATGAATGCAAAATTACACAATTATAATAGAATCTTTTGAGTATTACATAATAAGCTGATCAAAAATATAGAGAATATATGGAAGAAATCTAAAATTTGTAATTTTATTTCTATATTAAAAAAGAACTTAGTAATTGAGAATTTAAGAGGAAAATAACAATAATTATCGTAATAAAGTTAACTCATAAAACCAAATTATATAATAAGAAAAATAAGTAAATATGGTAAAAAATTATAGAATTATTCAAACATCTAATTCCTATTGGAATAAGAGAAAAATGAGAAAAGATTTTTATAATAAAATAATGAAAAATTATAATATGAATTATCTAAATTGAAAGAGAAATTATTTGAAGCTGATACTTACATAGAATAGTATATAAATTGTTATAATGATAGTAAATTTAGAAGTAATTTATTATATTATTTTAGAGTTGGAAGAAGAAAATAATTAATTAAAATTATAATTAGATCATTTGACTACAGAAAATTAATAACTTAATGAATCAATTTAAATTCTAAAATCTAATTTAAATTTAAAAACAAAAGAACTTGAAGAATCTGAATTTAGAAGAGTTAAAAAATCTTCAGAATCAAATATTAGAATAGAGTAATTAAGATAATAATTAATTACTCTATCTACAAAATCTAATCTAACTACAATAAGTCCAAGAATTACAAAAAAAAAGAATATTAAATAAGTATCATCTAAAGAAATGTCAGTAAAACCATCAAAAATTAGAGATTTACGTTAAATTAAAAGCAAGAGTCTAAATAAATTAATGGACCCTTAATTTTTAACTCAATCATAATCAATGCAAAATAATAATTTTATGCATTAAAAATAATAAGGATATGATTCATAAAGTAGTGGTGTTAGCAGATTAATTGTTAAAACATTAGAAGAAAATTATCCATCATCGTAAAAGAATGAAATATGTAATAATGCAGTTATCATTGGTAATGAAATCACTTAAACTGATTAATAATCTGGTAGAAAGAATTAGAAATATATTGAAGCTGTCTAAAGAATTAGATTTTTAGATGAACTATTGACAGCCCTTAATTTATAATATTAAGATATAGAAGAATAAATTTAATAATAAACAGATATGACTATTAAAAAAGAAAAAAGATAGAAGTTATTAGAGATAATAGATTCAATATCAGATGTTAATAAAGAATTAAATGATCTTGTAACTATAAAGAAACTTGCTTCACAATAATGATTCTTTGCATTGTATTTTTTGTCTTTAAAACAAAATATTAATTATAAGCTTTAATTTCATGATTTTTAAAATTACGATTTAAATTACCATTAATTATTGGATTATTATTTTTGTAATAAAATTTTATTTAATTCTTTTTCATAAAATAATATGAAAATTAAAGATTTTTTATATTTAAATTCAATTATTAATTTAAAGATTTGTTGTATTTTTTAATTCAACTTATTTTAGATTTGTGGAATATTATTTTATAATATTATTGTATTTAGATGAAATATTTAAGTCTATAAAATTTATTTATCAAACATTTAATTAAAAATTTATATTTCATTTATTTTTATAAGTATTTTTTTATTAAATTAAATATGAAATTCATTGAAATTTTACCAGTTACCATATAATTGGTGTTTTATATTCATCAAATTTATTTTTAGTTATTTTTGTCTATTACTATTTATCAAAATTAAATCTGAATACCTTCTTTTTTTTAATTATTTCAGAATTAATAATAGATTATTTATTACTTCACATAATTATTTAAAGATTCCACTCTAATGTATTTATATCATCAATTAATTTTTCTATGATAAAGAAAATCATGTTACAATTACAATATCTCCATAGAATGAATTATCTTAATAAAAGTTATTTCATTATTTTAATCTAGTCTCTTTTATTATTGACATTCTAATTTAAATTAAATGATAGGAAGTTAACGTTTAATTATAATAAATTAACATAAAATTAAACGACTTTTTAATTAAATTTAGATACCTTGAATTTCATGTCCTTCTAATTTGTATGATTATTCATTTAATTAACAGAAACAGTCAATTACATTTAAATAAGAGGCATAAGATTTAGGATATAAATTAAGGATTTTTAGGGATATAATAAGTATCAAGAGTATTAATAATGAAAGCCATTAATAATAATGTTATGATAAAGTTGAAGAAATAAATTGATCTAGAAATAATTATTTTCAGAATTGAAAATAAATATAATTTATTTTTACTTATATAATCTAAAGTAATTTAGAAATATTTGATGTCTAAATAACCGACATATGATATTATGTGCAAGTTTCTAATTCTTGGATCTTCTTAAGTGGGTAAGACCAATCTTTTAACACGATTTACTGATGATAATTATAGTGAAAGTCATGTTACAACAATAGGCGTAGATTTTAAATTCAAAGAAGTGAAAACAAATGGTAAAATAATGAAAATGCAAATTTGGGATACTGCAGGATAAGAGAAGTTTAGAACTTTAACATAAAATTATTATAAATTTGCTCATGGAGTATTGCTTGTTTATTCCATAGATGATTTAAAATCATTTTAAGAAATCACATTTTGGATGAATTCTTTAAAGTAACATGGTAAAAATGATATTGCAATAATTTTGATTGCTAATAAGAAAGACATAGGTGATTAAAGAGTTATATCATAATAATAAGGAGAAGAATTAGCAAATTAATTAGGTGTAGATTATATTGAAACATCAGCCAAATTGGGTCTAAATGTACATGAAGCATTTCAAAGATTAGCTGATATTGCAATTTAATAATGTAATGGTAAGATTTCATTGCCAAATCTTACAGAAGACAATAATTATAAAATTAACTTAACAAAAAATACAAAAAAAGCAGAAAAAAAGAAGGAATGTTGTTGATAAAAATTATTTTATTTAACTATTAAATTACAGTTTCAAAGTTATAAATGATAATGAGAAATATGGGTTAATTATAAAATATCATTTATATGAATAATTATTATATGTTATTTATTATTTCTATTTTTCTCATAACTTTTGGAAAATAATCTCCTGATCCTAATGATGCATTTCTTAATTAATCAATAGCAGTAATGTTAGGAGGATAATAAAAACACTACTATGATAACAATGTTGTTGTTCATTCTTCAACTACTAATCAAAAAAATCATTATTCTTCAATTTCACCTGATTACTTTGATGATGATGAAACTACAGATTTTGTAGAATAACTATAATCTTATGATTATAATTAAGATATTAATTTGAATGATTTAAGAGTATCTAGAATACACTCAGATGTAAATAAAATTGAAATAATTCCTTTAATAATTCCTGAAGGAAATATGAGTAATTATGCAGTGAAAAAATACTTAGGAGAAGGTACATTTGCATTTGTGTAAAGTGGTATAAGATTATCAGATGGTTTGTTGGTTGTTTTGAAATAAATAAAATCTAAGTACCTTTGGTGGGCTAGAATGGAAGCACACATTATAGATATTTTAAATGAAGAAAAGAAGTCATCAATTATTAAATTAGTTGATATGTATATGAATAATACAAGTCCTGTTTTAGTTTTTGAGGAATTAGAAAACAGTAAAACACTTGATTATAGAATCTATTCATTTTATCATGATTTAATTTTAGAAGAAATAAAACGGTTTTATTTCTAGTTATTTTATGGTCTTAGTATTACTCATTCAAAAGGAATAATGCATTTAGATATAAAACCTTAAAATATTATTGTTTCAAATGATGATATATAAATAATTGATTGGGGAGTAAGTGATTTTTATTATCCATTGAAAGAATACAGAACAAGAGTAGGTACTCGTCATTATAGAGCTCCAGAATAATTGCTACATTATAAGCATTATGATTATGCAGTTGATGTATGGGCATTAGGATCAATCTTAGCATCTACAATATTTAAAAAGTATCCTTTCTTTAAAGGAAGAAACAATGATGATTAATTATTATAGGTAGTTAAAGTGTTAGGTTCATAAGATTTATTTTAGTTTTGTGAGAAATATAACATTAAATTAAATGAGAAATTGAAAAAAACATTAGAGGGATATGAAAGATAAGCTTTAGAGAATTATATTGATGAAAATAATAGAGAACTTGTAAGTCCAGCAATAATAGATTTATTGAATAAGATATTTGTTTATGATCACAGAATTAGAATATCAGCTGAGGAAGTATTGTAACATGAATTTTTTAGAGAATGAAGATTAAAGTGTAATAGTGATTTTGTTTATTGTGATTATTAAAATAATAGTTCAAATTTAATATAGGAAATGAATTTTTTCTAGTCTAATCAATTATCACCTTTTATGAATTAAAAGGTAGTTAAAAAGCCTACAGTTCTTATGTAGCCAAATCAATTAAAGAAAAGTCTTGTAGATGCAAAACCAATTAGATTCTTATAATGGGACGATAATGCAAAGTAAATTAAGTTATGTTTGGACCTTAAAAAATATGTATTTTATCCTAATTTTAAATTAGAATTCGCTATTTAGAACTGGACCAGCTTCTTTCATTGTTTATATAGCTGCACGATCTGAAATAAATCAACTGTCTAAATTGAATTTAGATAAAAGTTTACCTCTTATAGACACTACATTGTAAAAAGGTATTTACATTTGGAATCATGTTATATATAATGAACATAAGAATATATAATTATATTAGCTTTTATGCATTTTAGGTGAACAGTTTAAAGAAAAATAGTTAAGAAGATAAAGTTTGAATTTGGTTGAAAACAGTAGTATATTTATTCATGCAGATACAATATTAATGACAATTGCATCTATTTTGGGAAGTGAAATAGTATTTCTAATAAATAATAATGATGATGAGATTTTAGAAAATTTTCATTAAATAACAAAACATGATTCAAATCCTAATTATAAATTACAGGTTATTAATTTAGTGGATGGTTTAGCATAGAGTATAGATCAATATAAATGGTATCAAATATATGATAATATTAAAATTACAATTATGGAAGAATTACATTATCTAAATGCTTCAAGTTCATCCTTTATTGATAATCCAGCTGATACTTTAAATAATTGGGCTTTAGAACTTGAAATGTCATTATAGAAAAAGATTTATAGAAGTTATGAAATTGATTTTTTAACTTTTTTTTCAATAGCTGAAATTATTACTAAAAGTTCTATGTCAGAATTAGAAAAAGATAATGTAATAGAAAATATGTATAAAATTTTATTATTCTTTGATAGTTTTTTTTAAGCAATTCAAAAATAAATTATATATGAAAAAGATTATATAGAAAGCATTTATAAAAAAGAACTTAAAGAATTTTGTTCTATCTCAGAAGAAGTTACAGTTGATTCTTTGACTTATAAATTAAATTAAATGAGAGATCAAGCCATGTCATTATATTATATTTAATTGGGTTAATTCTATGATAATCCTGAGTATGAAAAGTGTTTACAAATTATTTAATAGAAAATTGATTAATTTGAAATATAGTGTATTAGGTATAATTTTGAATTGATGGATATGTATTTTTATTTAAATTATTTAGATTACTTTAGTGAATTAAACTAATAATTTGATAAAATTTAAAAAAAATTAAAAGATGGTTTTCCTGATTCTTATACATAATTTCTGACTGATATACTTAAATTTAAAGAATTTAGAGGATTAAAATATAAATATATCAAATAACATTTATAAAGTAGTTACAAATCTAAATTATATTCTTATATCACAGAATATGATAAATAATCAAAAATACTTTATGAATAACGTATGCAAACTTAAAATGAAAAACAATATTAATTTCTAAAGAAAAGAGATAAAGAAGTCATGAGAGGACTTGAAATTCTTTAAAATTATACAGATTTAATGAGGGATGAAATTGGAACCCTCAAAAATCTTATTGATGTATCTAATAATTTCTATGAATAAATTAGTTCAATAATCAAATAAATATTGTTGTAAAATATAAATAAGAAATCAGAAAATTGGATGATGAAATACAATAATTATAATTATAAGCGAATAAAATTTAGATTAAAAAAAAGTAATCGTGAATTTTGATTCTCTATTATTTATATATAATAAATTATTTGTAGAAATATTATTATTTAAATAAAATCATTTCTTGTCATGAAATTTTATTATTAGTATTAAAAATCATTCATTTTTATTTTAACAACATTTAGTTGTTTGTGAATACAATATATCTGGATTTATAGAAATATTCAATTTTTAAAATAATTGTATAATTTTATTCTAATTATTAAGAAATAAATTATTATGAAAATATAAATTTTTTTTGAATTTTTAAGTTTAATTAAATATTATAATTAGTTTATTTTATATTCTGATTCTGAAAGGATTTAAGTATAGGTAAGCTGTTATATCAACTACTTAATTAAATAAATCAATTATTCTATTAAAAGAACAAGTAATGAATAATTAATCTAAACATAATATTAAATTAATAATATGAAATAAAATTTTAAATAAAGCAATCTATCCATAATTCATGATTTATTAAGGTTCAATTATATTTTGAGGCATAAATAAGAATATTAAATCAAAAATGACTATTTTCAAATAACAAATAAAATTACATAATATATTAGTATTATTTCAACAAAATGAAAAAAATGCTAATGAATCACAAAATCATCATTTAGTGTTATATATTTTCAAAAAGAAATATACTTTTGGTTCCTTTAATATAATAACATTAAAATTTAAATTCTGAAGAAATTGTGTAATCGATGAATATATTATTCTCAATAAAAGTAAACCTATAAAATGAACATAAGTTCTGGCAATTCTTCAGACCTAATGTTTCAATAAGAGATAAAAATTATGTTTTTAATTATAAAAAGCATAATAACTTGATATTGAATCGATTTAAATTTATTTATTTCTAATATTAAGATAATAATATATGTTTTTTTGTTTTTAATTCTGGCTACTTTTGCAAAACAATTTTGAATTCAGAATTTTGTCATTCCTAATAATTTTCGGACGCAATTTTTTATTCTTAGAAAAATCTAAAATCATTTTCTTTTAATATTAAATTAAATTACATGAATTCAAAGAATTATCCAAAAGCCAATAGGAGAATATCACTTAAAGAATAAGCTCATAGTCCAAGACAACCTAAACTAAATAAAAATAAAGAGATTGAATCATAAAAAGAAATAAGCAGTGAATTTTTTATAAGATAAAAATTATATGAGGATCTAAATAAATTCCCTAATTATGAGAGTGAAAACTTAGTAAAAATATCAGAAAGAAAAGAATCTCACTATAATAAATTTAGAACCATTATAGAAGATGCTAAATAAAGATTTATTAATTCCGATTCACAGCAAAGCAAAAACTATCTCGAAAAATAACAAAGCTCTATGAAATTAATAGTTGAATAATTAAGAAATTAAAAGAGACTTCAAAACTAAGTTCATTTAAACTAAACTTAAAATATTGAATCAATTAATTTAAATTTAGTTTTGTCCTTAGCAATCCCAATACTATGTTTAATTGTAGTCTTTTTAGAGTTATTAAAGTAGTAATTGATAATCATATGATAATATATATATGTATTATTAATCTTTTATAAGTAAATAATATAAATTAAAATATTTATCTTGTGTTAATTAATTTTATAAACATATGTAATTATTTATATAAAATTTCTTATCATGTGAAAAAAAATTTCATCTGACATTATAAAATTTGATTAATATTGAAGCATAACTAGAGTTGACTATTATTTTATGCTGATGTAATTTAATAAATAATAAAAATCTTTAATTATTTATCTAAGAACTAAGCTGATATTTTAAAACATTCTTAATTAATGATAAATAAATATAAAAATGAATGTTATAATAAAAAGAAATTTTTTTGTACTTGACTAAAATTTATTTGGTATTATAATAATCATTCATTATTTGAAGAGATTATATAAATCATAAAATCTTTCTAAAGTATCATTATTTTTAATATATTGTTTAAAATATGGTTCCAAACATTAGTCAGATACGATTACAATATAATCGAACAACATCAGCAGTTTTAAACAAGGAGCTTAAGTGTATTTCAAAAGAAAAATAAAAAAATTTTAAAGAAATCACAAGAGATCTTTTAGATAGATAAAATGAGTATGATAAGCTTAATAAGGTCTACTCATCAGGGAATTTGAATCATAATGGTAACTTTTAAAAAAAATAATCGAAATTTTATATATTTAAGAGAGCTGCAAGAGAAGCAAAATTGAAATTTTTATTGAAATCCAGTGGTAATTAAAAAAATCACAATTTACATTCTCTTTAATAAAAACATTCAATTGAAATAATTGCATAAATTTTTAGAAATTAAAAATCGATTTCAAGCTTTAGATCTCCTCATAAAAAATAAATAAAAAATAATTGGAACTTATAATTAATATTAATAATAACAATACCCATTATTTGTCTATTAGTAATTATTTAAGAATTAATTGGTTTAAAAGAATGAATCGATTGCCAATGATTTGATTATATTAATTATATTCCCATTTTCATTTAATAATTATCATTGTAAAATTAAAAAGTTTTATTTTTTAGAAGTTGAAAATAATCTAATCTTAAATTATCTGTAAAGTTTAATTAGAGGAAAATAAGATTTTTTATAAGATTTATATATTCTTCAACTTAAATTGTAAAAGAATTCAATTAATTCAAATTTTATAATTATAAAAATACATAAAAATTAATATTATATGATTGCATTATTAAATATAGACTGTAATCGTTGATTTCTTAAATATATTTTATTATAAATAGTTATAAATATTTTTTTAGGAAAACTTCAATTTAATCTTAGTTTATGAATACTGAATAGTTGTTGTTATTTCTAAATCTTATAAAATGATGAGAGATATTCACAAGAAATTATTAATACTATAGGTGATTTAATATTAATATTTCATTTTTTAGCTATTATAAGTATTAATCTTATTTATTTAAATCTTTGTAAGATATGATCTTTCTCTAAATTTTTGGTTTAATTAAGTATTTATGAATTGATTAAAAAATAAATTTGTTATCTTACCTTAAATATATGAGATTTACTCTATTAGATTAATATGTATTGGTTTATAGATTATTAATTAATTATTATGATAAATGAAGAGTGATATTTTAATTATATATTTAATATTAAATGCAATAACGACCAATTATTAATAAAGACTTACAAGAAAAAAGAGATGTAAATTGATATCTTATAATTAGAATGCAGTAAGGTCTTTACACAATTATAAAAAGAGTGTGGAACTCAATTATTAAGAGTATGTATCATAAACATCTGAATAATAAATAAATGATTTTGAAAGTCTTTCTAGACCTTCAGTAAAGAGTATGCCTGTCAAGACCAGAGATTTGTTGAATAAATACAAAGCTCAACTTGAAATATAACCAAAATTTTAAATAGTGCCAAAACCAAGTCAATAATTAGAAATAAAGAAAAATTTAGAACTTGAAGAACATTAATAAAGTGTTTCATCTCCACGATCAGAACCTCCAAAGAATCCTTTTGAAGATAGTCGTAAAACTAAACAAGATGAATAGAATATATCTTTTAGTAGATAGCAAGAAGTTAAATTACCTGAAAGTCAAATTTAAGAAGAACTTGTTTAAACTGATTAAGAGGGTCAGAAGAATCCTTTTGAAAATTCAAGTGTTATGTAATATACTTAAACATAAATGCTTGATCCTTATGCAAAGACTGTTTCTGATAGAAATTAAATAAGTCATTACACAAGTTAAGAAAGTAGTAACATATAGAATTTAAGTTAAACATAAGAAAAATCAATAGATTCTGAATAATTCTATGATACTATAGAAGAGTAAGGACAATTTTAATAATCAGGTAAAGTTAGTATGGGTACTCAATGTTAGAAATTTGATCATAATTATTAACAATCATCTAGAACTTATAATAGTATTAAGGAAGAGATTCAAGATGAATAAAGTAGTATTACTCATTCATCTCATTAAGAAGAGAAAGGTCATTAGCAATCAAATTAAAGTCCAATTTATGAAAGTATTGATTAGGAATCATAATTAGTGGAAACAACATAAAGATGGAGTTAATATTAAACAATTCCATAAAATACAGCATAATTCAATCCTAATGTCTAACCAACCATAATGGAAGTAAAATAAGAATATAACAATTCTTTATAAACAAAATAGGATTCTTCAAATAATGATATTAGTTATGGTCATTCATTTGATTAGGCATAATAATCTAATTAATTCAATAATAATAATTAAGGTAATTCTAAATATACGGATAAGGATACATCAAAAGATGGAATAACAGTTAATAATCATATTATAACAAAGAAATTATCATAGGAATTAGTAATTGACATGGAAAAGTTTGAGAAAAATAGTCATTTATTGAATAGTATAAACAAAACATAATTATTATTTATTACAGAGAGATATATAGATTATATGATTGGATAATTAAATAAGGATTTATTGAAAGAGTTTAGAATATTAAAGAAATTATAATAATATATATATAAGAAAGATATGATTGTAATAAAAAGATGTATGAAACAATTTAAGATTTATAAGGATAAATAATTAGAGAAATATGAGAAGGATAGGATTTCAAGATAATTTAGATTTTAGTAATAGTAAAAATAAAAAGAGAATGTATTTTCAATATTAAAATAAAATAAAACATCATAATAATAATTTGTTAAGAATTTGATTTAATTAATGAATAATCATAAATAGAAAGTATTTCTAAATAGATGGAAGAATTAAGTATATAAATAAAAAATGAAAAAGTAAATGGATCTATAATATAAACAATTTTTATTTAATGGTTGGTTAAATGTAGTTAAAAGGGAAAAGAAATAAAAAGATATTAAGTCTTTAACTAAATATTATTTTTCAACAATTAAAAAATATTATTAAACTTGGAAATATTTTACTTATGAATAATAAAGACTCAAATGTAAATTTTTGAATGCATATACAAATGTGAATTTAATGAAAAAGAAATTTATAATGTTATAATGGATAAAGTTTGTTTAGGATATGAAAAGAGAAAAGGAATTTGAAGCTTATGCAAAATAGGCCAATGAATACATTCCTGTTAAGGTAAGTTTAAAACCTTAAAATATAAAAATCTATAATATCAAATGAATTAATATTATTTATCACTAAATTAATATCATATAAGTAACACTTATATAAATTTGGCTTTTTAATTAATATTATATGCTATATAATTTTGATTTTCCATAACAACAAAGTCCTGTATAATAAATTAATTAATCACAGTAAAATAATAGAACTTAGAAGAATGTTTCAACATAAAAATCTCTGAGTTAAATTTTGAATTTTGAGCTTCATCAAACTAATGATATGAAAAACAAATTATTACCTCTTTTGAATAATAAATTAAAATAGAGGAATTCAACTAAAATTTCTATATAAAGTCCAAGACTATTATAATTGTAAAGTGATAACTCTTGTGATGAATAAAATAAAAGAGTTATTCGTAGATAATTACCTTCAATATATTTGAAACAAAATAATATTATGAAATCTAATTGTTCATAAGACAAATTGAGTTTAAGTCCATAAAAATAAGAAATAAATCAATTAAGCAAACGAATTTTTACTGATGAAACAGATATCTATGATTCTAATAAATTAAGCTTAAGAAAATTAAATGAATTATTAAATAGTCATTGTGTTAAAATTCCTTAACCTACTGCTATATAACGTTTTCCTGAAGTTTAAGAACTTTAAGATTTACCTAAATAAATGGAATTTATTTTCAAAAAAAATAATATCAATCCAATAAAAATGAAAGCAAATGTAAAATTTTATAGTCCTAGAGAGAAGAAAAACACAATTTAATCAATTGATTCTTTAATAAAATTATTAAAAAAATGATTAACTTATATATAATTTTCTCAATTCTATCAATATATTCAATAATTTAATTATATGAATTTATCTAAAACTAATGAATAGAATGAGAACGACATGATGGAATCTCTCCCATTTGAAATTATTTAAGTTAAATTCTAAATCAATATTAGTTAAGCAGAAGAAGAAATAAAGTCTAATTTGGATAAAATTCTAATAGAAAAACCTAATCTAGAATATTTAAAAGGTCTATTAGTGAAAGTAAAGAAGAAGTAAAAGTAAAATAGTAACTTTAGATATAAAACATGAATTTTCAAGATCAAAAATAATTAAAATCTAAAGATGATTAACCAATAACAGAAAAGGAACAATTTGAATATAAATTGATATAAGTAGAAATATCTGACTTTGTTATTATTGAGCCATGTAAGAATGGAAAAGAGTATTAACTATTAAAACAAGAAGATTGGAAAAAAATTATCTCATAAAAATCCTTAAATGGTTACAATTTATTAGATATACATGTATCATTATTGGCATAAAGACTAAACTTTTTTGAAAGAAGAGATTTATGGTAATTCTTCTGTTAAGTGGAATAAATAAAATAATAAATTTAATAAACTACAAATTCATTTTTTAAATATTCTATCTAGGAGAGCAATTATAGATCTTAAATAGATAAAGACATACCTCGAACTTTAATGGGATGCGAATTTCTAAAAAATGTAAATTATCTAATTATTATAGCCAGATAATATTTTAAGTTTAAAAAAAATATTAATTGCTTATGCTAATTATGATCCTGAATTAGGATATACATAAGGAATGAATATTATTGCAGCAAATTTATTAATTTGTTATGATCTTTAATATAATGATCATTAATTTTTAGAAAGTAATCTTCCTTATTCATTTTTAGATGTTGAAATATTTGATCCAACTAGAGATGAAATTGTGTTTTACATTTTTATATATGTTATGATAGAATTAAAATGGAGATAGGTATTTATGCCAGGATTTCCTGGACTTATTAGATTAATGAAAACTTTAAATTTAAAATTTATGTCTGAATTACCTTAACTCTATAAACATTTTTAAGAAGTAGGTGTAGATTTTAATATATGTTTTTAATATTAATATTTTACTTTACTTATGTATGGGAATTCTTGGAAAATAAGTAGAATGATATTTGATGTTTTCCTTTTTGAAGGTGAAGAAATCATACATACATTTATTATTGGAATGTTAAAATGTTGTGAGGATTCTTTATTGAAACTCTATACTTTTGAAGAAATTCTCAAATTTTGTAAGAATGATATGATATAATAATTTTATGGAATCTTTTCTGTTCATTTAGATGGTAAGAAGGATCTAACTAATACATTATTTAATTTAGGATTTATCAAATTATAAGGGAAAATTAAAGAATCTGATCCCAAAAATACTGAATAAGCAAAAATACTATAAAAAAACTAGAATCAATTTGGATAAATTAAATAATTAGGAGGATACTTAAGAAAATTTTTTAGAAAAACTTGATAAAGTTTTATTTTATTCAATTTTTTTTATTTTAATTATTTTACTATTAATTCATCTTTTTATAGTTTGTCAACTATTTTTTCAAATATTTTCTTCGACTTAATAAAATATTGTATTACAATATTAACCAGTATATTTAAATCAATTAATTTTATCTAGTTTATTTTCATACTTTTTCATTTACTATAATAAGTAATGAGGTAATTCTGATTAAGCTATTTTAATATAATCCTAATCATTATAATACTTTCATTTTTTCATTAAACCTAATCTTATATTTGTAAATCTATATGTCTTATAATTTAAGGAGAGTTTCAATTAATTAAACCAATCTGATTTCTTATTTTTAATTAAAGTAATTAAACTCATTGAGTTTTTTAAAGTAATTTTTATATATTTTTTTTTAATAAATTGTAATTTCACCATTTAAGAGATATAGTGTTTTATCTACTTCAATGTCATTATTATTTTACAATAACATTTTATCCTATTATTTGATAGTAGAATTTTTCTATCAATGGGTTTAATATTCAAAACTAAGTTTTCTCACTTTTTTACAAACTCAAAATTATGTTATTATTAAACATTAATTATTTAATGATTGAATATTTATTAAATTTAAAATTATAAATGATATAATTTAAATAATTCATTTGCTCTAAAAATATCGTTAACTAATTTGATTAAATTCTTATAACCATTTTGTTTTGAATTTATCACCATAATCAAAGTATAATTCTTATCCTACTTCAATTTCTTTAGTTGCAAGCCTATAATAGAAGAATTGTATTACATTCCTATCCTCCATCTTCCTTCAGAGAATAATATAATGGCTTAACAATTTGCTGTTTCTGATTAATTTGTTGCGTGATTAATGAATCTAAGATAATTGCTATAATAAGTTCCATCTATTTGCCATTTATCATCAACTTCAAATAAATAATGTTTTCCTGTAAGCATATTACATTCTAAATAAAAGATATATTTAAATTTTACATTCAATAATGAAGCTTTCTTCATCCAACAACAAATAATTTCCTCTATATTCACCTATAAAATCATATTATTTAAAATGTTATGCAGCAAATAAGCCCAAACCATTACATATAAGAGATTTTCCTAAGATTAATTATTTAGATATTCCCATCAATAAATTAACATTATTGCAATTTGTACATTTGCATATAGTTGGATCACATTCAAATCCTGAATTGAAACAAGGACATTAAAATTTATGTTTCTTTTCATCATATCCACAGAATTTGCAATCACATCTCTTAATTTTCTTTTCACATTTACCTTTACAACAACAGTACTTTGGACACATAACACAACTACAATCAGCATCTTTACAACTACCTTCATGAAAACATGGTGTATATTATTATTAGTAATTACTAATTTTTTGTAATTTTTAAGAATATGAATCAAATCCATCAGAAATTTCTGGAGACATAATATTCTATTATGATTTATTATTATGATTTAATTATTTATTAGAGTAATTCTTAATTATAGAACTAATTTAATTACAATAAATCTTATAGATAGGATGCTATAATATTTAATTGATAAAACAACAATTCATAAACCCAAATTCAAGTAGTTATTCAATAGATTTTATTTAAAATTTTTTTAATCTTTTTTTGTTATTACAATTAAATCTACCACATCTTTCAACTTTAGTACATCTTATATCTATTTCTTATTTATTCTTCATATGATATCTCCATATACTTTCTTTCAAATTCATTTAATTAGGCTTGAAGTCTGTTTCATAAAAATTATCAATTGATTGGATATTCATTATCATTTCTTCATTTGGCTCACTCTCAATAAACACTCTTTGATTCTTTGAACTATATAGAACTCAAAATTAACCTATAATGCCAACTACACATATACAAATTACAAATGGGACAAAAATACCTGTTGAATCTTACTAATTGATATTTCACAATAGACTTCATACAGTATTAACCTTATAGTTTAGATAAAAAATGTAATTAAATTTATTCTACTGACACATTAAAAGCTTCTCCAATTTCATTAAATTTAAATACATCTTTAATAGATCTAAATAAATCTTTATTTTTTTCAAAAAAATAATCTAAGAATATTTTTAATTCATTTCTTAACAGTTATTTACTTTTATCTATACTTTCCTATTAAGCTTATTGAATTATTCTAAATAATTCTTCTGTTTCTTCACATTATGATAACTCAACTGACATAGGTGCTAAGTAATTAATATATATATACTTAATCTTTCAAGCAAAACTGGAATTGGATTTTATAATCTGATGTTTTATGGTATGCTTTTATAGTGATTAGTTATCAAAGGAAGATTGTCTCTATTTATATTAACTTTAATGTCAATTTAATAGTATCTATTTCTATTTACCTTAACATTTATGGATTTTCTTTGATAAGATTCCTCTTAAAGTAATTTCAATTGTAAGTGTTATACATATCGTTTAAAAAGTTTGTATTCTAGAATGATGTCTTTTTTTTTCATGGTTAAAATTGTATTTAATTATAAATCTAATTTCATTAAAAAATGCTTTAAAATTAAAACTATTCAATTTCTCAGAAACTACATTAGATATTAAGAATTTAGAGAATAAAAAGAAACTCTTTTCAAAATTATAAGAAAAACATTAGAATATATATTCATAGATTTTATTTGATTTGTCATATTAATAATTAAAATTTATTTTTTTACTTTTTGTAAACATAATACAATGTATCAAATTTAAAATAGCTAATAGAATAAAGATGAAAAAATAATGATTTAGTTAATGATAGTTAATAATTTTTGGAATAATAAATGTATTGATAATAAAAGTTGAAATTTTAATATAGAGTATTTCGATTAATTTTAATAATGTTTGGTCGGTAACAATTGAGATCGTATATATATTTCTTCTATTGAGATATCCAACTGAGTCATCGGAGTTCTTAGAGTGTAAAACGAATAACCGAATGTATGCATAGGTGTTAGCTACAACAAGAGATTCAAAAGAATCAGCATTATTATCAAAATTAGTCACATTAAGAGAATAGTATATGAAAAATATAAATGAATAGAATTTCAACAATAGGTAGTCCTCGTAGTACAGTTAAGACATCTAGAGGAATGTCTGAACATGTAGGAGTAATATCTCCACGTTCTTTTGGGAGAAGATTAGATGAGAAATTGCCTATGAAGGAATTAGGAGATATTGCAAATTACTTTAATACATTAAGAGGTGAATAAGCAAAAACATTATCAAAAAATTATGTGAATGAAATGATGCGTTTGTAGTAATGTATTGAGAAGAAGTTGAAAAGATGATATTGTTTATAAATTAAATTACCAATGAATTAAAAGCCACTGAAGAGTATTCATTATCGAGTTGAGACGCATATCGATTTATCTTCCAAGGGCAAGATATCATCTGTTGAGAGTAATTCTTAACGTTATGGTTCACCTAACAAATTGCCTTCTCTTCAAAATATTTGCAGAACTATTTAAGGTGAGGATGGAACGGTAATGAATGAAGATGAGGAGATCATAGGTTTTTGCCATGAGATCCTTAATGAGTAGGGCCAATAATGTGAGTAGCAATCGGACTACTAGAACAAAGTGGGTACTTGAATTAAATGAACGCAAAGATCTTAAACAATTAGAACAATGGACAGATGTATATAACTTTTATTTTGTAGCTCATGGTTCAATAATTATAATTACAACAATACAGCAACATTAGAGATTTCTATGAAAAAATGGAGTTGGTCTACACTGGTTCCATTACTTAGTTAGGTTAGTAATTGGCTATTAAGTGCATTGATTATTAGACTATATTGAATAAAATATGGTCATCATTTACTCATGCAGTAAAGGAGATTATTGAAAAGTAATCTGAAACAAATAGAAAAATAGAGAAAGATTGTCTATCAGAAACTGTGAAATTGCATCAAATGTACTAAAAAACATTGAATGATAAAGGTAGTAAATTATAAGAGGCTGAAAGATATTTGAAATAAAATTCTGATTAAAATGATAAAATGATTAAAGAAGGTAGATATTTAAGAAAAAAATGTTAAAAATTAGAATAAGAACTACTAAACTTAAGAAGAGAATGTGATTTTTTTAAATTATAGAATTCTGATCTAATAAGAGAGATTGATGCAATGAAAGTCTTTATTAATCATCAAGTTGATCCTTCTATTTATATTCATTAAAATCTTGTTAATGCTTAATAAATTGAAGAAAAATTTGCAGATGAATTGTAACATGCTAAAAAAGAGATGTTTGAAGACTTTAAACATCAATTTGAATAAAGAACTATGATATATGAAGATATGTATTAAAAAAAATTAGATGATTTAGAAAGAAGAGAAATATTAAATTAAAATTAGGAAGATGAATAAATACTTTAAGATTATTAATAAACTATATTTAAAGATGAATGTGTTGGTAATTCAGTCACTTATAAAACATAAGAAACTGACACTTATGATTTAATTGAATTATCAGATGCATCTGTCTAAACAATTTAATTTAAAAAAAAATTATATGATTGGAGTACTTAAACACCTCCTATTGTTACATTCAATTAATCTGTTGAAGCCAACTTTTCTATGATAAAAAGGGAATGTATTCCCAGAAATAAAGAAGAATAGACTTATTTAGAAATGTCCAGATATCCTATTTAAGTATTTATTGATGATTATCATGAAATCAAAATTACTTATAATAAATATACATTTAACTAAGATTTAGAGGATTTGATAGATCAATTGGCTTAAAGATCTAGATAATTATTTAATATATTAACAATGAAGGAAGAATTTCATTTAGATGATTTTTAATGTGTGAGCTAATATGTCATTAATAGTTATAATGTTTTTATTAAGCTTATTAGAAGTTTGGAAACCTTAATAATTGAAAGCAAATCTACTTTAGTAGAAAATAAGATTAGTCTATATGAATCATAGATTGATTCTAAATAATCATGTAGAAAATAGATTCATGCTGAAAAAAAATTGGATTTATTGATTGTTAAACATTAATTAACATTAAAATAGGTATCATTCCTCTAAAAATAAATTATCAGAGTTCACAAATATTTACCACATTTTCAAATTGAAACTATAAAAAGATAAGCAATAAAAAAGAAAATATTCTTAGAATTTCCAAAAGTTCAATCACCTGGACCAAATCTATTACCTCCTGAAAAATCAAATACAATCTTCTTTTCTTCTTAACCTTAATTATTAATACCTCCATAAATCAATCAATCTACTAGTTCATAAATATAAAAGTCTGCTTTAGATATAGCATAAAGTGAATCAACAGAACCACAATAATTAAGAAGAGATTAATCAGTTGATTTATCTAGAGAACCAAGAGAAACTCCACCAATCAGTCCAACTAAAAAACATCATCCAGTTTAAATATGTAAATTGAATGTTATTTTAATTATTTAGTTTTTTAAGATTCATTAGCTCCACCAGATGATTCCTCTTCAGATGATGATTAAGAAGTAGATATTGAGGCTTAATTATCTCCAATAAAAAATTTATTATCAATAGAGAAGAAATTATTTGTTAGTAAATGTCCATCCAAAAATACATAAACAGCTACTCAACTTTTATTATAAGAGATATAATAATTTAGAAGAGATAGAATCGATAATATTGTTACAAGATAAACTTTATAAAAATATTTGTCTAGTTTTGTTTGTTGGTGTGTGAAATATGGAAAGTACAATTATCCTCTACATATATAATTATATGAATTTTATTAAATAGAGAATTTTTAATAGCCTCCTTAAGTTTGGTTATAAAAATACTAAAGAATAATTAAGAGTATTATCTATTATAAGAAAAAGACAACATATGCTAAATTATTCCATTAAATGTTAATTGGAGATTAGAGTTTTAATATTTATTTGAGTACTTTGAATGTTATTCAAAATAAAGAATTCACAGAAAATGGAATTTTTGTCCAATAATCATAACTTTCTGAAGCTATCAGACAATATGTAAGAAATACTATTCCAAAATATGTTCAACTTGTTGATTATGATCAAGAGATATAACCATATATGTAAGGTATGTTGGAATTCAAAACAAAAGAGATTACATAAAAATATTAGTTAATTTTAACATTATTCAATTAAGATCGATTTACATAACTTTAATTTAGACTTTTGCTTATGGAATTGGATTCATAGAAAACTGAATAATAGATAATTAATTTATTTATTAATGAATGTGATTTAGAATAGAATAATATATAATATATGTCACATAAAAGATTTTCATAGATTTGTGAAGAACATAATTTATTAGTAAATTTGAATGAATATTTGCAAAAGAATAATGCTTAATATTTTAATGATATGAAATTATGGAAAATAAGAGAAATTGAATTAAAATTGATGTTAATAAGATCATAATAATATGATTCTACTGAGAGAGAAGTATTTTATAGAATGAATGAATTGAATTCAAATGAGTAGAGAATATTATTGGGGAGATTCTTAGAGAGAAGAGCCAAAGAACTATTATTAGAGTAATATGCATTTGAATGTCTACCCTAATATATGTAGATCATACTAAATTTTTAATGATATATTTAAAAAACCTTTATATATATATTATTTAATTATTTCTAATATTGATTCAAAAATTAATATGGCTTCTAAATTAAATACAATTGAGGCAACTAATCTTGATCACCAAATCTAACATTTGTATTAATGTAAACCACTTCCAGAATAAGATGTTAAATTAATATGTGAAAAAGTATTAAAGAATAATATTTATATCTAATTAGGCAAAAGAAATATTAATTGAGGAATCTAATGTTTAACCAGTACGTGCACCTGTAATAATTTGTGGTGATATTCATGGTCAATTTCATGATTTGATGGAATTGTTCAAAATAGGTGGCAAAGCACCAGTAATGAAGTGATTTTAATTTGAGGATACTAATTATCTATTCATGGGAGATTATGTAGATCGAGGACATCATTCTGTTGAGTGTGTAACTCTTCTTGTATTATTGAAAGTATATAATCTATTAATGAATATAGATTCGTCATAGAGATAGAATAACCATCTTAAGAGGTAACCATGAATCAAGATAAATCACATAAGTTTATGGTTTCTATGATGAATGTTCACGTAAATATGGTAATAGTAATGTTTGGAAATGTTTCACTGAATTATTTGATTACTTACCATTGACAGCAGTTGTAGAATCATAAGTAAATTCAACTAATCTATAAAGTTCTTCTGTCTCCATGGAGGTATTTCACCTTCCATTGATACATTGGATCATATTCGTCAATTAGATAGAGTTTAAGAAGTACCTCATGAAGGTCCTATGTGTGATTTACTTTGGAGTGATCCAGATGATAGATCTGGTTGGGGTATTTCTCCAAGAGGTGCAGGATATACATTTGGATAGGATATTTCAGAATAATTCAATCATAATAACAAATTAAAGATGATTGCAAGAGCACATTAATTGGTGATGGATGTAAATTATTTAAATTAATAAAAAAAGGGATATTCTTTAGCACATGAGAGAAATGTAGTAACTATTTTCTCTGCACCAAATTATTGTTATAGATGTGGTAATTAAGCTGGTATAATGGAAGTAGATGAGAATCTACGTTAAACTTTGTAAAATCAATTTATTTAATATATCTATATAGTATACAATTTGATCCAGCTCCAAGATCTGAAAATGAATCTGTTCCAAAAAGAGTACCAGATTATTTCTTATGATTCATATCAATATAAACAGAAACAATAAGTCATCATCTTTGTTTTTTTGTTCCTATTTTTTTGTTCCCTCTTATTTGTCTACTACTCTATTCTATCCATCTTCATTCTATTTAAGTATTATTTCATTTTAACAAAATAAAAATAAATTTTAATATCAATTTCATAGATAATGAACCTTGATGACATTTATAATTGGTATAGGCTATACATCAAACATTAGGATTCTTACACATCCATAAAATTATCCAGGAAAACAATAAGAATCATAACCAAGAACTGTGTAATCTTATAAACCACTTGAACCAAAAGCTTAATTTCATATCATAATCAAAGCAACAGCTGAATATATCAAAGAGAAGATGCTAAATGGAAATGTAATATCCAATAATACCTTAAGGGAGTCAATATGAAAGAGTTAGGAGCATTCACTATGGAAGTCATTTCTGATTATGTGAAACCTCTCTAACATTCAGGTTTCAATATGACTCAAGACTTAGCCATTCAGAGAGCAGACAGAAAACATATTCATTAAATTAGGTAATTCATTTTACAATATAAATTATAGACCATGCTTTGTTCCTGATAATGCATTCAAATATTTATTAGCTCGTTACCCAGGAAAAGAAGAAATTACTAAGCCTATGAGTTAGCATTCTATATATCAGAAAGGATTTGGAATGAACTTTTGTAATGCTGGTCCAATTGCAGCCTCAAGGTTAGTATTTATTAATAATGATAAAGTTATCTAGGCAAAGATGTTGTATAATCAGTACATACTTCATTGATAAAAGCTATACATGATTTAACAAGACTTGGACATGATCTACATATAGATTTGGGATTTATTAAAATATCTGTATAAAATAAAGACTTAAAATATAAATATGATCAATCATTTATTCATAGACTCAACTAAACAGATTATGAATTAAAAGTAAATTTATATCAGTATTCAAGATGCGTAAATCTGATTTAGGTACATCATAACATTGGACAACTACTTATTAAGAAAAGTGGTCAAAGAGCACGTAATTAAATATATATTATTAAATAGTTTAAATAATTTGTTGACTAGACCAAATCCAAATTAAGTTTAAGAAAATTATGAGAAATCAATGGCTTTAAAGATAATGTCATTGGATTTGAATACAGCTGAACAAACTAATTACAGCAAAAAGCAAAAAGTTTAATTACCAACACTTAATAAATGAAATATCTTTATTATTATATACCCAAATTGATTATTTATATAAATACCCGGATTATATAATAGATATTAATTATTGTTTGATTTCTTTAATTTATTTAGAATCTTCATAAGTAATATTTTAATCTATTTTTCTATAAAATTATGATCCCCCATTTATATCAATTACATCTAGTAACCCTAAATTTGTCAAATACTTTTATTGGATAAAATAGTTCTACATTTATTTCTAATTGAGTTTTAACAATCTTCTATATTTCCTTTTGAGTATAGCCAAATTAATACCTTAGATCTTATTGATTCTATGATTTTAACTTGTTCTTGAGTCTCATTAGTTTCTTTCTATTGTATTTGTTATTTTATAAATAGGAATTTGCAAAAAGAATTATGTGTTAAATAGCTTTTTATAAAATTTCACTTATTCTCCATATTTTAAATCAACCTTGCAATCTAACTCAATTTCTCTATGTCTATTGGTGTTTTCTCTTACTCCTTCTGTTCAATCTTAACATAGGATTATTCTTATGGATTTACACTTATATATATTCTTAAATCATACCCATATGAACTTAAACGAGCAGCACTAATAGATGTGAAATTCTTCTCAACCAAATTTTTCAAATGATCAGCTACTCTACTTTTTAATTCTTTTATCCATTTCTTATATGGAGGTAAGATATTCAATAACTCACACAATTTATCACATCCTTTAATCAATTCAGAATGTTTCTCTTCATAAACTAATTTCAGAAATTTGGTGATCTCCTTTCCAATAATTTCTGATTCCAAAAGTCCCATATATTTATAATAGAAAAATCTAGCATTCACAATATCCCATGTTATAATATATGAAAAATATTATAAACAAGCCATTTGACTATCAAAATGCTATAAATATACTCTCATTTTACCTCAGAATCGATTTCAATATTTTCTAACTTCTCAACCATATCTTTAGGATCAGAAGCAAAGAAGGCTGCCTAAGCTGAATTTTCAATGTCCATATTACTCATTATAATATTAATTTTTATGAATATAAATGAATAATCATTATTTTATTTTAAATGTTTAATAATTTATCTACATCAATTTATAGACAAATTTATTTTATATATGACATCAAATAGATAAAATGAATTAGCTTTTCAAACTAATTAAACTAATATTTGTAATGATTAAAACTATCTTAATTATTAATAAAATATAATATAGGATAGCTTTAATAAAGAGAATAATTTATTATTAAAATAAAAATATAAGGTATCACATAAATTTTTTTATTGTTTCTTTATTCATTTACTACAATATAATTTTATCAATCCTAAAATATATCAGTAATTGTATTACTTTATGAATTAANTATATAAATACCCGGATTATATAATAGATATTAATTATTGTTTGATTTCTTTAATTTATTTAGAATCTTCATAAGTAATATTTTAATCTATTTTTCTATAAAATTATGATCCCCCATTTATATCAATTACATCTAGTAACCCTAAATTTGTCAAATACTTTTATTGGATAAAATAGTTCTACATTTATTTCTAATTGAGTTTTAACAATCTTCTATATTTCCTTTTGAGTATAGCCAAATTAATACCTTAGATCTTATTGATTCTATGATTTTAACTTGTTCTTGAGTCTCATTAGTTTCTTTCTATTGTATTTGTTATTTTATAAATAGGAATTTGCAAAAAGAATTATGTGTTAAATAGCTTTTTATAAAATTTCACTTATTCTCCATATTTTAAATCAACCTTGCAATCTAACTCAATTTCTCTATGTCTATTGGTGTTTTCTCTTACTCCTTCTGTTCAATCTTAACATAGGATTATTCTTATGGATTTACACTTATATATATTCTTAAATCATACCCATATGAACTTAAACGAGCAGCACTAATAGATGTGAAATTCTTCTCAACCAAATTTTTCAAATGATCAGCTACTCTACTTTTTAATTCTTTTATCCATTTCTTATATGGAGGTAAGATATTCAATAACTCACACAATTTATCACATCCTTTAATCAATTCAGAATGTTTCTCTTCATAAACTAATTTCAGAAATTTGGTGATCTCCTTTCCAATAATTTCTGATTCCAAAAGTCCCATATATTTATAATAGAAAAATCTAGCATTCACAATATCCCATGTTATAATATATGAAAAATATTATAAACAAGCCATTTGACTATCAAAATGCTATAAATATACTCTCATTTTACCTCAGAATCGATTTCAATATTTTCTAACTTCTCAACCATATCTTTAGGATCAGAAGCAAAGAAGGCTGCCTAAGCTGAATTTTCAATGTCCATATTACTCATTATAATATTAATTTTTATGAATATAAATGAATAATCATTATTTTATTTTAAATGTTTAATAATTTATCTACATCAATTTATAGACAAATTTATTTTATATATGACATCAAATAGATAAAATGAATTAGCTTTTCAAACTAATTAAACTAATATTTGTAATGATTAAAACTATCTTAATTATTAATAAAATATAATATAGGATAGCTTTAATAAAGAGAATAATTTATTATTAAAATAAAAATATAAGGTATCACATAAATTTTTTTATTGTTTCTTTATTCATTTACTACAATATAATTTTATCAATCCTAAAATATATCAGTAATTGTATTACTTTATGAATTAAGAATAAATAATACTATCTAATTAACTCTTTTTAAGAAGATCAAAATAATTTTAATATTATAAAAATTTTCTTTAATTATTGTTTATGCTATTAAGTTATATCTATAAAAATAATCAAATAATTATACTTATTTTATTAGTTAAGATAGATGCTTCAGCCAAAATAAATAAATATATTATTTGTAATAGTATTTTAATATAAATTTATTTAATTTAACTCAATATTAGAATAATTGAAATCAATGATCTTCTTATTACTATTTCATTTAATTAATATTAAATAATAATAATCATATGATTGATTATTGAATCAATAATAAAAGAAAGGAAAACTAATTTACTTTAGATTCAATCTATTTATTCTAATTACTTATATTTTAAGCAAGAAAATAAATGAGAATCTTGGAATTGATATACAATTATAAGATATGTGGAATAATTAGTTATGAAAATAATAATAATATTGTTTATTAGATTTATTATGGTGTAGATCAATGCCATTTATTGATAAACACATCTCTTCTTGGGGCTCTTAATTCTTCTGGATATTAGGTACCAGCTGGATCTGACAAATCTTTCTTATTTAATCTAAGATCTATTTTATGTAATATTACCTATTTGCATGCACTTACCATAATTATTCAATGTGATCATGATAATGAATAAATGTATACTCGTTTGCAATTGCAAAGGGAAGCACAAGAGTATAGAGATATTATCTAAATAATCTATGAGTCTTTAAAACTGATCCATATTCTCTTAAAATACTCAAGACTTATCCTCTTTTAGCATATTAATAAAGGAAAGTCCATGATGCACCAGTCACAATTGCTGCAAGTTCTAAAATAATATTTAATTCGATATTACGAATATTTGAAGTCCAATCTTCACATAATTCTTCCTTTGTTTCTTTGACTATCTTTTAATATGGATAGAATTTGTAAAGTGAGTTCAACTTTCCATACTATGAAAATCTATTAAGGGCATAAGAAGCAAATAATCCTTTTACAGCTCTATATTGAACACCATCATAGAATTGTCTGCTGATATCTCCAGAAGGAAGTGTATTGAAATACTCTTCTGCAAGTCTAAGGTTGATAGGAGTGTAAGTTGGATGCACTGTGTAGAGACTGTGATTCATTTAATTAAATAATGATCAAATCCAAATTATCATTAAAGCAAATGATAAAATTAAATCATCTGTTAACCTTCATATATTTATCTACTTCTTATCTTCAAATTCTTCAATTTTATGCTTAATATTTTATTCAATAATCTTTAAAATCTATAAAACAATAAAACTATAACTGAGAATCAATTTAATTTAATAGTTATTTTTGAAATTTATTCTGTTGTTTTTTATTTGAAACTTAATTAATCAATCATATAATTATTATACTTATAATAGATTCAGCTGAATGTTTAATGCATAAAATTCTTAAATATTACAAAAAATAGATTATAATCAAATAAGCCTATTATTTTATTATGTAAGGATCAATAATTATTAATAAAATCATTTCTACTTTGATTGTTATTGTAATCTCTCATAATCTTTTTCTTTTATAGTTATTAGAAATTTTGAACTTATATTTATATCATTTTTTGTTTCATACATGAGGTAATTGTTGGATTTTATTTTGGCGATTAGATTATTAATTTTAATCTTTATCATAACAATCGTATTCTTTATCTTTTTGTTATCATTCTTATTTACAATTCTCATTGATTTAGTTTCAAATTCATTATTATAAAGCTAAAATAAAAATTAAGATAGTATAACTTATGATTTTAATTTTATTAAATTGATTACAATTTGTTGTTTAATATTAAAATAATTTAAAAATGTATTATAAAACTGCATATATCTTATGAAAAAATAATTTATATACAATCTTGATTATATAATTAAGTTTAATTGTTAATTAAATTAAATAAATTATTATTCTTAAGTAATTATTAAATTAATTAGTGAATCATATAAATTATAAATTCTAATTTTTAAAGGGTTTTTCAAGTATTGACATCTATCATAAATAATTGACATAAAACAATATATATTTGCTATTTAAGGATAATTTATTGATCAAGAATTACATATTTATATATATTACACATAGTTATATATGATATTTAATAAAAGTAATTCTTATAAATTTATAAAAAAATAAATAATTTCATATGCAATAATTGTAAATCTAATGTATATATTTAGTGTTGAAATGAAGGCTGTTACATGGTAAAAGGATTCCCATGGACTTTTTGATTATGAAACTCAACTTCTCACAATTGAAAAACATGTCATATTATAAGAGCGGAAGGTTTATCGATTGGGTATATTATTCATATTTATTATATTATTAAATAGGTTAAGAAGTCAGTATTCATTCTCCTGAAACTGAATAAGATTAGTCCCAATAATATTTAACAGAAGTTCAAGAATAAAACAATAAGTTTTACATAAATCCTGATGGATGTGTAGAAAATGAAAACTTTTTAATAGTTAGAAGTTTAAAAAATAGTTAAGGAGGATAAAAAGTATAATTTAATTTTAATGATGAAAAAAGGGATATAAGATGGAGCCAGGAGACATAATAAAATTAGGAAGAATGGAATATTTGATAATAGAAACAAAAAATAAGGATAATTTAGTAAATTAAGCATCAAGTGAAATGCTAAAAGTATATCTTGAATAAAATTCAGGATTGGTTTGAAATAACTGCTTCGTATGTTACCAATAATTAAGCAATTTGTCGATTTTGTCTAATGGACACTCAAACAAGAGAGGATCCCTTCATTTCTCCATGTAATTGTAAAGGAAGCTGTTAATTTGTTCATTTTAGTTGCATGAGATAATGGATTGAGAGTAGATGCCAAATAAAACAATTAAATAGTGCATAATCATATAGATGGAAATAGTATTTAACATATATATTTAAGATAACAATGTGAATTATGTGAATCCTTGTTACCTTTGAAAATAAAGATGGATGATATAGAACTTTCGTTGGATGTAATATAGCGTCCTTCGACACCATATTTGATAATGTAATCAAGACATAAAAAGGAAAAGAAGTCAGGAAAAAATGTGTATGTAATGTAATTTTAAAATGGTGAACCAATTAAAATAGTAAATATAATATATATAAAATAGGGAAGAGGTCATCAATGTGATATATAAATATCAGATATTTCAGTATCTAGATTACATGCTTATATAAAATATGAAGATGGTAATTTTATTATTCTTGACAACAACAGTAAGTTTGGAACACTTGTAAAATTATTCCAACCTTATAAAATTGATTAAGAGAAAGTGGCAATATAAGTAATTTTATTATTTATATTTAAGGTTGGACGCACAGTCTTGACTTTTGTACTAAAATAGTAGTGTATTAGTGAGAACCATTGAATGATCTTATTATTTTTAATTGATATTAATAAATATATATATTAAAGGGAGAAATAATTATTTTATAAGTTCCCAAATATTTTGGAGTGTGGAATATATAAGTATTATGAGGTGTATAGATGAAGAGATAATGAATTAATTAAATATATAAAAAAATTTAAATCTTTTTTTAATATTATGGCTCACAGAATTCAAGAAAATGCAGGAATGATTAATGATGAGAAATAAGTTGTTGATATTTATGTACCAAGAAAATGTCAATATACAAATATGATCCTGAATAGCAGTGATTACTCCAGTGTATAAATCAATGTTGGATAAGTATTGATTCAATTTCTAATTCAAGGTTGATGAGAATGGAGTTTATAACAAAAAGAATAGCACTGTCATCTTAGCAGGATATTTAAGATAAAAGGGATAAAGTGCTGCAGCTTTGGAAGCTATTCTTAGACAAAGAGGTGTTTTGCCATTTGCATAATGAGACATATTTAATATATACATATTAGTACATTAATAGATAAAATCACAAATTACAAATGCTACTTCTATAATACTAACAAATCTATTCAGCAATATGAATTAAATTGGCACCCAATTTCTCTTCTTGCATAACTTATTTGATTAATTATACAAATAAATTAAAACTTTATTCTCCTATTTTTAATGGATAATGAATAACTCTTAAATCATTTGCTTTGTAAATTGATGAATTCCTAAAAATAAATCCAACAATCTTCTTCACATGAGATTTTAGTTAATATTCAGCATTTCTAAAATGATCACTATAAATTTCATTATCCTGTAGATTTATTTATACTTTGTATTATACTTGATCCAATCCTTAAGGTCCAACTATACTTTCTATACTACGTTGATTCATAACAATAAACCTTAATTAAAACCACAAATCAGCATAATCCTACAATATAAGTCTATCTAAATTATAGTTTTTAATTAATAAAAAAAAATTATCTCTAAAACCATCTATCCATTCATTTTAAATGACACAACATTTATGAAGTGTTCTTAGATCTGTATTAGTTAAAAGTGGTTAATGTTGATGAGTAATATACTTTAATAGAAAATGTGCATGTCTTAAAAGAGTGGGTATATTTGGAAAACTTCGAAATCTAGGATCTCTTTATAATAAAACTTCATATTTCTTTACTTAAACCTTAAATAAAGTTGGAGATTAGAAATAAAAATCTAATAAGCAATCTTAATTCACTATACAACTTCTATAACCATCCATTCTTTTAGTTATCAATTCTATTTAACTCTCCTTTAATCCAAGTTCTTTCATGGCCTCAACTAAGTGTTATTTGAATAAAGTAAAATGAACATTTGTTAAATTCATTCTTTAATGAGATTTTCTTAAATAATTCAAGACTTAATCAACACCACAATTCCAACCCATCATTTAATGTAATATACTTCCTAATTTCTTAGCTTATTCATCCATTTATATTCCTACAAAATATTCACAAAGAGTTTAATCTTCTAATATTTTTTAATAGGTAAGATCTGCTAAATGGACAATACTTTAAGGTGTCTCATCTTTATTATTTTCAGTTCTTTGATTATAAATTTAAGCAAAGGTTTATTCTGATGTTATAATACAGTATTTATATTATTCAATGAGTGCACTGAATTCAAATATTAATTCAGGGGGACCTTTATTACTTTGAATAAAACTACTCTTTCTTATTATAAATGATTATTTACAATTAAGTAACTCTTAAATTGATTGTATAATGCATGATCTATTTTTAAGGGGATATGTTTTTATTTTAGAGCTTCAATGTTAAAAAATACAGGTTTTCCCATGATATACTCAAGAAATGTTCCAAATTTGGATTCATACATTGCAGGATCATCAATTTCTCATATATATACAAATTGATTACTCTATATTATGGGATGAATTTGAGAATGTTTATGAAATAATCTAGCTATTTCCTAAATTACCTCTTCACCACCTATTTTAGTAAGAAATATTCCATCATCTTCTTCAAAATTAGATTTAATGCAAAATGAACTTTTTGGGGTAATTGGAGATAGTTTTACTTACTTTTATGGTGGTAAAGATCTTCGAGTAATCGATACAGGAATTCCTAATCTAGATCTTGGAGTATTGGGATTGGAATGTTATATATAGCTTTATGAATGTTATGAAGTAGTAGTGCTTTTATTAAGACTTAAAACGAAATGTGATTTCATTGTCTAGAGATCTGGGATGACAACTTCAATCTTAGGAAGAAGTGGACATCTTTATATTGTTTCAGTGTTATGACGTTGATTCTTTTTTTATCTTCCATCTTTCAAAGCATTGACATAATCAGCAAATGAAGAAGATTGTTAAATTAGCTTAACTTTCCCTTTATCCAATGTATTGTCAGACTTTGTTAAGAAATCATACTATCCTACATATTATTATCTAAAAGGACAGTTCTGCTAGAATTGCCGATTCATTATAAATATTATTAACTTAATAAATAATCATTAATTTAACTAATACTTAAAAGTAAGATGAATCCTTGTTAATCTATGTAATATTTGAATAATTATCATAATTATTGATACATATTAAAATCTGTACACATTCTATTTCAATATCTTTATTAAAGACTGTTTCAGTATAAAAATATCCATCAAATCATTTATGAAATTCTGCTATACCAATAGATCTAACATTTTAAAACTAGGGACATGTTTAAAGTTGATGATAGATTAATTTAAATCTAATTATCCTCTCTAGTTAATATATATAGTTTAATAAAATTTATGAAATAAATTATTTTATCTTGTGTCATTCTATTGAAAACTTTGATTATTCTAGTTTGTATCTATATCTAACTATATTAATATTTAATTAATTTCTTTAAGTTTAGCTCTGAAGAATTTAATTTTCTGGAATGAAAGTAGCCTAATACAATAAAATTAGCTTTTTTTATTTCCTATCCAATTTATTTCTCTTATTGAATTATCATCCAATTTCATATTTTTTATTAAGATTTCTATCAACTCCTTTATTTGAATTTATTACTTAAGTTTTAATCTTTAGATTAAAATTATTTATAGCCTTTAAACTCTATTAATTTGAATATACTTCAGAGAATTTTTTGTTATATTCCCTGAAATTGGGTCTATTCACTTATCATAAAAATAGTCTAAATGCTAATTATTAATATATAATTCATTTTATATTAAATCTAAAAAATCAATATTTTCTAAAAATACTAAAATATGTATCCTCAAAATTCTTGAGAAAAGCATTATTTCACAGATAAGTAAATACTAAAATATAAATTAAATTTGGTTAATTAATTATATTTTTAATTTAGATACTAAACTAAACTTATTTAATTAGTCTACAATAATGATTTAAAAAATTGAATATAATTTTATTTTGACATTATTTTTTCTCTAAATTTATTTTCATCTATTTTTTAATTATATCAATAAATTCAAAAATGTTATCAAATTGTTATTTATTTTTTATTTTTCTCTTTTGATTTACTATTTATTAATAAGATTTTTGTTTAATAATGATATATTTATGTTCTCCAAATTTCTAAAAATAAGATCCATAATATTTAGAGAACTCAATATCTCATATAAAACTATATCTAGGATATTAATCTATATTATTTCTAAAAATATATATATTTATTTAAAAATTGGAAGCCCTACTTTTATTTATCATCTATTTTCAGATTTATCATTATTTAAAATCATTTCGAATTCTTATTTTATTTATTAATCTTTTGTTCAACTTTTAATCATATATTAATACAATATCATCTGTAAATATGATTATTTATAAGTTAATCTTAATATAAANTTGATACATATTAAAATCTGTACACATTCTATTTCAATATCTTTATTAAAGACTGTTTCAGTATAAAAATATCCATCAAATCATTTATGAAATTCTGCTATACCAATAGATCTAACATTTTAAAACTAGGGACATGTTTAAAGTTGATGATAGATTAATTTAAATCTAATTATCCTCTCTAGTTAATATATATAGTTTAATAAAATTTATGAAATAAATTATTTTATCTTGTGTCATTCTATTGAAAACTTTGATTATTCTAGTTTGTATCTATATCTAACTATATTAATATTTAATTAATTTCTTTAAGTTTAGCTCTGAAGAATTTAATTTTCTGGAATGAAAGTAGCCTAATACAATAAAATTAGCTTTTTTTATTTCCTATCCAATTTATTTCTCTTATTGAATTATCATCCAATTTCATATTTTTTATTAAGATTTCTATCAACTCCTTTATTTGAATTTATTACTTAAGTTTTAATCTTTAGATTAAAATTATTTATAGCCTTTAAACTCTATTAATTTGAATATACTTCAGAGAATTTTTTGTTATATTCCCTGAAATTGGGTCTATTCACTTATCATAAAAATAGTCTAAATGCTAATTATTAATATATAATTCATTTTATATTAAATCTAAAAAATCAATATTTTCTAAAAATACTAAAATATGTATCCTCAAAATTCTTGAGAAAAGCATTATTTCACAGATAAGTAAATACTAAAATATAAATTAAATTTGGTTAATTAATTATATTTTTAATTTAGATACTAAACTAAACTTATTTAATTAGTCTACAATAATGATTTAAAAAATTGAATATAATTTTATTTTGACATTATTTTTTCTCTAAATTTATTTTCATCTATTTTTTAATTATATCAATAAATTCAAAAATGTTATCAAATTGTTATTTATTTTTTATTTTTCTCTTTTGATTTACTATTTATTAATAAGATTTTTGTTTAATAATGATATATTTATGTTCTCCAAATTTCTAAAAATAAGATCCATAATATTTAGAGAACTCAATATCTCATATAAAACTATATCTAGGATATTAATCTATATTATTTCTAAAAATATATATATTTATTTAAAAATTGGAAGCCCTACTTTTATTTATCATCTATTTTCAGATTTATCATTATTTAAAATCATTTCGAATTCTTATTTTATTTATTAATCTTTTGTTCAACTTTTAATCATATATTAATACAATATCATCTGTAAATATGATTATTTATAAGTTAATCTTAATATAAATACGACTTAAACAATACTAAAGTAAAATATAAATAGTTTAAATATGAATAATTAATTTAAGGAATATTTATTTAAGAATCTTAAATGAAAATATATTACATATTCTTTTTCTACTTTCGTGATCTTATGACTGAATAGAATTTAAGTAGAATTTTATTATCTCAATTTCAGAGAAGTATAATAATTTTTATAAATCTTTTTAATTATTATTATTATTATAAAGAAAGTAGAAGCCATGAATATTGGAAGTTTAAATTTATTTTCAATACAAAATTTTAGTGTATAAATTTAATTATTTTATTTTATTTCAAACTCTAAAATAATAGCTAAATATATAAATGCTATGAAACCATTTTAATTTAAATAATTTTTGATTAAATAAGAAAGAGTAGATAAAGAATAATTATGAAAGAAGAATATACTCATTGATATAATCAATTAACAATAATTTTAGAGTATTTAATAAGAACAATTAGATTTTTAAAAATTAAAAGAAATTATGAAAAATATACATTTATATTATGTTGTATTAAAAGAATAAGTCGTTTTTATATAAACTATAATAATGTATATAATTCTAATCTATTTTGTTGAATATAACGAATAAATTATAATGTATTATAAATATTGGTTTGTATATTAAGAATCATTGAAACAACTGATCTTTATAAAAATACATTAGAAAGTTACATTAAACTAAAAATCAAGTTTTCGATTATGTGCAGTAGATTTTAGAATACAGATAATGAGGGTTGATGCGTAATTTCTCTACAATTTTATAAAACTATTAGTAGTCGAAACTTGATTATAAAATTTGAACAACATAAAGCATATATCCTATACTATATGAAGATTATGTTTTTATTGCTCTATCTTGGCTTATTGTTTTTATACAACTCCTTAGTTTGGATCTTTATTTATCATTCATTAAAACAATTAAAAGAGTATTTTTTCAAAAAAGTAAATATTATCTTCATGTTTAATTATTCTGGGATGTTGCCAAAAAGTTAAAGTTTATATTTTCATCCACCACTACAAGTACTCAATACTAGAAATGTCTAAACAGAACCTGAAATCTCAAAATAATAACATAGTACTTAGTATTTTTAGCTTTAGAACCTCATAAGAAATACAGTGTTATTACTGATGACAAGAGGAATCTCTTAATCAAACAGGTTTTAGAAGAAGGGGTTTCAGTCAAATTAGCTGCTTAAGCTAGTGAAATTAAGTTATCGACAGCAAAAGCAATTTTGAAGACTTTCAAAACCTAAGGGAGAATAGGCAAAAAGAAAGAACGCCAAAAACGACCAAAGTTGAATAGGAAAACTGTTGAAAAACAATTAGATTAAGCAACATTAATTAAGAAGCAATTGCCCAAACTTGGTCAAAAGTAATAATATAAAACTAAATTAGTTTCATTTACTTACCCTATAGCTATTAACCTCCCCCTCTTATTTATAAAATTGAGTATTCTAATGATGTTAAATCAGAAATTTGATGTATAATTATACTTTAAATATATTCCTTTTATTCTTTATATATTAGAATTTTTTCTTATTCAAATTCCAAGTGTCACCAGCCTACTATTCTAGTTCATAAATGAGTTCAGTCTTATTATTTTGGTAAGACTGTGAGACCATTTTTGTTTTAAAGTCAAATGATTAATTAATCTTCAGAAAATTTCTATTTATTGTCTGATAATGATACTTTTTTATTACACTAATTTATTCACTTTCAATATACTCACTCTAAACTAAGAACAAGAGCTACAATCCTTAAAAAGTATATGATCTTCAACTCTCTAAATAGTGTTGTTAAAAATAATTGAGCATAACCAGAATCTAAAGATCAGCTTGAGAATTCGATTAAGAAAACATGAGGAAAGTAGGAACAAGACTTAAATATCCTCTTTATTCTACATCTCAGGAGCAGATCAATAGTAGCCAATATTTTTTAAGAACTTTCTTATTCTTTATTTCTTAACACACAATCTTATAGCTAGAAAATATAAACTTTCTAAATATATTCAATCATATTTAAGATAGATCATCAATAATGTAGATTGTTTTTAAAGTAAATAATCAAAAATAAGTGGGTAAGAGGGTTTTAAAAAAAAAGAAAATTTTCATTTATCTACTAATGTAATAATCAAGTAAACTTAATTGTTTATAAAAAGAACAAGGCTTGATTGGAGAAGTGTAATAATTTATTTATTCACCAAAAAATGAGTAAATTTTGGGTTTTTAAATATAATATCAGTAGTTATTAAGAAAATAGAGTTCTAAATTATTTCTATATTTATATAATTGTATAATATTTATATTAATTGAAATATACATAAATATAAATAATTCATGTTAAGAATTGTTCATAAGTTGAGATGTGGGTTTGCTAAAATGACCGTCAGAGAAGCCATTAACAGTGCAATGGCTTAAGAAATTGAAAGAGATTAAAATGTTTTTTTGATTGGTATTTTATATGTAATTACAATCTTTTAGGAGAGGAAGTGGGTTAATATTAAGGTGCTTATAAAGTATCTAAAGGTCTCTATGATCGTTTTGGAAAGAGTAGAATTTGGGATACTCCAATTACAGAGGCTGGATTTACAGGTTTGAGTGTTGGAGCAGCTATGTAATATTTACCTCATCTTTTTATAGGTATGGACTTAAACCCATAGTTGAATTTATGACATTCAATTTTGCAATGTAAGCCATTGATCATGTAATCAATTCAGCAGCAAAATTACATTACATGAGTGCAGGTGGTTTGAAAACATCTATAGTATTTAGAGGAATTAATGGGTATGATTGTGAATTAATTTATATTTTAGTGCAGCAGCATCAGTGGCTGCTTAACATTCATAATGTTTTGCTGCTTGGTATAGTTAAGTGCCAGGCTTAATTGTATTATCTCCATATGATTGCGATGATGCTAGAGGACTTTTGAAAGCAGCAGTCAGAAATCCAAATCCAGTTGTTTTTCTTGAAAATGAAATTATGTATAATGAGGCATTTGAAGTCCCTGACAATGTTATGGATAAGGATTACTTGATACCAATTGGAAAAGCTAAAATAATGAGGGAAGGAAAAGATGTGACAATTGTAACATTTTCTAAAATGGTCAAGTATGACAATGAATTAACTTGAGATTTTCAATGTTAGCTGCTGCAGAACTAGAAAGAGAAGGAATTTCATGTGAAGTTATCAATCTCAGAACCTTGAAACCTTTAGATAGAAACACAGTAATCGAAAGTATCAAGAAGACACACAGAGTAGTTACTGTTGAAGAAGGATGGGGATAATGTGGAATTGGAGCAGAAATATGTAGTATTATAAATGAAAGTATATAAAATGTAATATTTTCTAGCTAATGCCTTCTTCCATTTGGATGCTCCTGTTGTTAGAGTAACAGGTGCTGATATCCCAACACCATATGCATTTAATTTAGAAGAGCTTAGTTTCCCTAAAACACACAATATTGTAGAGGCAGTCAAATTGGTATTAAAATGATAAAGTTATGCATTTATATATCATAAAAGATAGCCTCTATCAAATTTTTATTCTTTTCTTTTTATTTCTTAAAAAAAAGATTAATGTATGATTAGCTTGAACAAAATAAATAAATCCTTTAATAAATATTTCATCAATAATAATTATATTGGTTATTTTATCTATTTTTTGAAAATATTTAATAAATTAAAATATGATTTGAATATTATTATTAATATGTTTTATCTAATAGTAAATGAAATTTGTTATTGCTCACAAATATGTAATTATTCAAAGAGAAGAGTTTTTCAAAAGTACATTTTTTAAGAGATTATATTTTTTTAGAATTTCGATTAGCATTTTGAATAATTTAATAAAATTATATTAATTTCAGAAAAATTATACTTTGATATTAATTATACATTGGATTTATTTAAAATATCATTATAAACAAAATTAAATGAATTAAAAATCAATAATAAATTTGAAAAAAATATTTTGTAGCATTAATATTATTTTATCCTCTTTTTTCGTTGAAATCAATTTTATTTGACTATTTTAATGATGAAGTTGATATATAAAAAAATTAGAATATTCTTTAACAATGTGTATTTATTTAATAATGAAGAAAAAGTTATTTTAAAAAGCATGAAAAAAAAAGAGATAAATTCTTTAGAAATTAAAGAAATTTTGGTAAATAATTTTAGATCTTCTTCGTGAAGCAATTTTATTATTTAAAAATATATTAAACTATAGAAAAGTTAAGAGTATGTTAAAATAAATATCTGTCTCCAATAAAGAAAGATTGTGTCCATGTTTGTGATATTATATAAGAACTTAATAAATTTAAATTATATTAGTTTTTGGATGAGCTTTATTCCATCTTCTTAATTAATACATGAGCAATTATCAATTCATTAATCATATTAAAAGCAAGTAGAAGATATGAAAAAGAAGAATTTAGCAGGATCATTGTGGGAAATTGTGAAAAAAATGTCAAGAAAAAAAGAAAAAAAAGATAAATGGAATGAAAATTATTTTAGTGAATTTTCATAAAATATCAATTTTGGAGCATTATAATGTTTTTCTGAACTCTGTACTGAATTAGCATGCAATAATAAAATTACGTAAGTTAAATTTATTAAGAATAGTGAAGTTAATTTATCTAGATGTAATATTAATATCTATCAATCTATGGAGTTGGCTAATCTTGTTTAGAAAAATACAAATATCTAAGTATTATAATTAGCAGGATGCAATTTGAATTCTTTTTCATTAAGTTGTATATTCAAATCAGTAATATATTCAACATTTTTATAAAGATGATAGATCACACAGGTTTGACTCATTTAAATCTCTCTAATAATAAAGGATTTACTAAGACATCTATCGATGATTTTTGTAAATATGTTTTAAAGGGTAAAAACCCATTATTTGAAATCAATTTAAGTTTTTGTAATCTAGATAATTCATCACTTTCATTAATTTTACCAAATCTAAAACATTTAAGATCATTAAAGTACATTTCCATTTTATTTTTAAGACGATTCATCATCTCATTGGTAAATTTAAAATCTTCAGAAAGCATTTTAGCTTTGAGTAGTGCAATAAATAATTATACAGGTAATAAATTTTTAGATTATTTGGATATTTCATGGAATTGGATAACAAATTAAGGACTAGAACTTTTAAATTTAGCTTTATTCATGTCAGTAAGACATATTAACATAAGATCATTGAATTTAGAATATAATTAATTGACATAGGATTGTATAGTATCTTTAGAAACTATTTTATTAAAATTGAATATTGAAGAGATCAATTTATCAAAAAACAAATTATCAGAGTTCTAGAATCAATAAGTATTAAACAAAAAAATGTCTAAAATTGATTTATCATATAATAGATTTGAAGAAATTCCATAAAATTTCTTTTTAAATGTTCTATCTCTCAATTTATCAAATAATTCTATTAAAACTCAAGGAGCTTACTAAATTTCTTAGGTTGTAAGTTCAAAAAGAGTTATGTGGATGGAATTAAATCTGAATAATAATGAAATCTGTACTTAAGGTTTTATATCTTTAATATATGCCTTAAGAGAAAATTAAAGAATAATAAGTATATCTGTGGCTAATAATAATATAAAAGGTGAAGGTATATTAGTATATATCTTCAATCATGAATAATTGAATTTGTAATATTTAGACATATCTTATAATTATTTGAGATATGATTTAGTTTATGCATTAATTTCTATGATGAAAGAATGCCAATTAAAAAAATTAGTATTATCAAAATTAAGATAAGATGAGAATGATATATGTAGTGGAAGGGAAGAATTGATTGAAATTAAATGCAATAATTTAAGATAATTAGATTTCTCTTAAAATACCTTTATGATTTAATCAATACTAAATTCTTTATCAAAATAATTTAATAAAATAGAATATTTAAATCTAAATGATTGTGAAATTAATTAAACAAATTTAATTGACTCATTATCTTCTTTTCTATCCAATACTTAAACTTTATAAACACTATTATTGGCTAGAAATAATTTAGGTAAGATGGATGAAAAGAATTTTAAAACATTGAATGATGGATTTTTTAAAAATAATTCTATTATGTATTTGGATTTATCTTCAAACAAATTAAAAATTAAATTATTATCTTTAATACCTGGATTGTCAAATTGTCGATATTTAAAATATTTGAACATTAGTAACAATTTAATTTATGAAACTAAAAACCTTATAAAAGATTTTGCAAAATTGCTTGATAATATTAATTTATAATATCTAGATATATCAAGAAATCAAATTGGGGGATAAACTTTATTATATGCAAGAAAAAAATTATAAAAATAATGTCGTTAATTTCCTCAAATTAAGATGTAAAATTAGAAATTAACAGCAGATGATTTATAAATAATAACTTAGATAATTTCTGAATCATATTCAATAAAAAGATTAGAATTGTAAGATAATGATTCTTTAGACTAAATGAATAA